AAAAAAACAAAAAACAAAAAACAGTCCTTGCCTTGGATATCTTAGTGCTGCTCTTCAGAAAGGAGCTGTTTCTGCCTGCCCTCACCTCTCTCATCTCCTCCTGCACTCCCTGTCTCTCTGCCTGGCTTGGTTTGATCAACCACCATGTCTGAAGAATTACCCACCCTCCCTCCGTGTAGATGTAATTCTTCCCTCCCGAGATCCAGGAAACAGAAACATTCCCAAATTGCACATGACTGGCCAGCTCTTTCATTCCCAACCTGGGAAACAGCCAGCCTGAATTTCCAGGAACACCTATAGGGTTTTTCTAAGGCCCATCCTGGAAAGCTGTGAGGTGTAGGGGCAGCCCTTAGGAGGGAGGGCGCTACTGCATGGCCATGATAGCAGAAAACATCCTGCTTTTGGGCCTGGAACCCCTGTGGCCTCTCCTGGCCTCCGAGCCTTAAACCAGTTCCCTTTTCCTAAGCCTGAGTTTACCAATCTGTAAAATCAGGGCATAACAGCAGTTCTTTAAGTTACAGCTAACATTAGGGGGAAAATATTTTTATTTAGAAGTTAGAATAACACAGAAAAGAAATAATATAATGAATACTCATATTCCTACCATAGAATTAGCCATCGTTTAACAATGTATATTGGTTTCTAGTCTTTTTTTAAAGAAATAAAACCTTCTGGTTAAAAATGAATTCCCCTTTACTGCCCCCACCATTCCTCCCCACCCTCTCTTTGAGTTTGGTGCAAACCTTTCCTTCTGTAATTCTCTGGCAAACACTTCTGTTGTGCTTTTTCATCCAGCATTATACACCACTGAGAGGGAGGCAGGGTGGGTGGGGGCCCTTACAGATGAGGACACAGAATCAGTGGCTTTTGTGGTTCTTCTGTGTTCCTTAAAGGTTGGGCTTAGAATGCCTGGGAAGGAAGTCAGATAACTGAAAGGAACATTTGCACTGGTCACAGGAAAACCAGCCTGAGCTGCCTGCAACCTCCGGAAGGTGTTGGGATGGGCTGCTTCTAGCTTCCAATGTGGGTCCTGACCCAGAGAGAGCTGGCCCCAGGGGAGCAAGGATCTGGGGAGGCTGGAAGTGGACAGTCTGCTTGTGGGGAGCACTGGGAGGATAGTCTCACTTCTGCTGCACAGAGCTCAGCCAGAAGGAGAGGGGATGCAGGGATCAAGTCCCAGGCCACAAGGCCTGAGGAGTGGGAACTACCTTAAATGGCTGAAACCAGTCTTTCCAAGCCAGGACAGGCTGCTTTCTCTCTCCCCCAGGCTCTATTGTCAGCATTGAGGAGGGACTTTCTTAGATGGTCACTAGCACTCAGCACTTGCCGCCTCCCAGGTAGAGCCTGGGCAGAGGTCGGAGGTGTCCACAGGGACCCCAGTACATGAGAGCCCTGTGTCTGCGCCAGGAAGCCAGGCCAGCGTTGGTATTACTCACCATGAGAACTGTGTCCCCCCAGACTCATGTGTTGACACCTCATCCCCAAGGTGATGGCATCTGAGGTGGTGCCTTTAGGAGGTGATGGGGTCATGAAGGTGGGGCCCTTGTGGTTGGGATTAGTGCCCTTATACAAGAGGCCCCAGAGAGCTCCCTCATCCCTTCTGCCATGGGACAACAATGGGAAGGTAGCAGGCATGAACCAGAAAGTGGGCCCTCACCAGACACCCAGTGTGCCAGCTGATCTTGGACTGCCAGCCTCCAGAACTGTGGACAATACATTTCTGTTGTTAGAAAAGCACTGTTTGTGATGTTTTGTCATGGCAGCCCCAAAAGACTAAGATGTGTGACTGTGAGCTCCACAGTACCACATCAGAAGCATGATATTTAGGATGTGTTGGGGTAAATCGCATGCTTTCTTAAAAATATGACTTTTTAGTAGGAATTTAAAAATCGAGAGAAATAGGCAGGGTGCAGAGGACTTCTAGGGTAGTGGTACTGTTCTGAAGGATACTGTCATGGTAGGTGCGGACCATTATCCATCTGTCCAAACCCCCAGGACATGAAATACTGAGTATGCACCCTTATGTCAGCTGGGGGTTCTGAGTGATTCTGAGGTCACTGCAGGCTCTTCCACTGTAACCAATGCACCACTCTGGTGGGGATTTTGAGGGAGGTGCTGTGTATGCGTGGGGCAGGGTGTGTATAGGAATGCTATACTTTCCACTCCGTTTTACTGTGCACCTAAAACTGCTTTAAAAAACAAGGTTTATTAAAAATTAATCTCACCTGTTACTTTTTGACAGAAAATGAAAACGTGGCCTGTGTTACATGTCTGTTGTGCAGGGCTATCTCAGGCCTGTATGGGTCCTTAATATAGCCCTGCCAAATGGTCATGAAAGGTGTGGTGACTGTAGCGGGGCTCTGCAGGCTGCCCAGGCATCTCAGTGGCAGCCCAGGGAAGAGCTTGGGGAGTTTTGTAAGGAAAATTTCAGGCATCTTTTACTTAGATAGGAAGAGCTCTGTTTGTTTTATTGGAACTGTGTCTGAGACTAATACACTGCTGTTAATGGAGTGAGAAAAGCAGTGGTTGTCTCTATTTTGTTGAGAAGACAGAGGCTGGGAGAGGGGGGCTGGGATTTACAGGCCAGACCAGGATCCCAGATCCCGGTTCTCAGGTGTTTTAAAAGGCAGGAGTGGAAAATGATGAATTCTTTTCCCCCCGCATAGACTTTATTTTCTTTATTCTTCATATTTATTCTACTTGTTTGCTTGAGACAGGGTCTCATTCTGTCACTCAGGCAGAGTGCAGCAACACAATCATAACTCACTGCAGCCTTGACTTCCTGGCTCAAGTGATCCTCCCACCTCAGCCTCCCATGTAGTTGGAACCACAGGTGCATGCCACCACAACTGGCTAATTTAAAAAAAACATTTCTTTTGGTAGAGATGGAGTCTCACTCTGTTGCCCAGTCTAAAAATTTTGGGCTCAAATGATCCTCCCACCTCAACCTCCCAAAGTGTTGGGATTACAGGCATGAGCCACTGCATCCAGTAGAGCAGGCTTTTTTTTTTTTTTTTTTTTTAAATAAAGTAGTTTTAGGTTTATGGCAAAATTCAATAAAAAGTACGGGGTCCTTTTTCTGTCCCCAGATGGAATCTAGGACCCAAGATTTGTTGTTTCCTTAGTCTTCACTGCCCTGTATGAATTTTCTAATTTGTCCTCGTTTCCACACTGTGTTTTGCGTGCTGGTGTGTGGGAAGTTCCTTTGAGGAACACTATAGGGCCCTAGCGCTGTTGGCAGTTGGATGGTTGGACAGAGTGTTTCCAGCAGGCATGGGCCATGTTCACAGGCACCTGCTTCTCATCTCCTTTGTGCACTTGTGCCTGCTTTGCTGTCTTCCTGGAGTCTGTACTGTGCTATTTTCTTGGAAGAAATCCAGAAGGGGCACAGATGCACTTCCTTGGGGGTGTAGATTGCTTTCCTTAACTGATGGTGTGGCTTATTTTCCGTGAACTTCCAGTAGGGTGGTCCAGGCTATAAGGTTCCCCTGCAGTCCTCCTGCTGCAGTCCAGCGTGGCCAGGCAGTGTTGGAGTGGTCAGCGTGCTCAGGTGTGTTGGAGGAGCCCCTGTGCAGGCCTGGCCTGGGGAAGACCTTTGGCATGTCTGCCTGGGTGTGTTCCATACCACTGCTTTTTTTTTTTTTTTTTTTTCCCGAGGCAGTCGCCGTCTTTTGCCCAGGCTGGAGTGCAATGGCGTGATCTTGGCTCACTGCATCTCTGCCTCCCAGGTTCAAGTGATTCTCCTGCTTCAGCCTCACAAGTAGCTGGGATTATAGGTGCCCGCCACCACACCTGGTTAATTTTTTGTATTTTTGGTAGCGGGATTTCACCAAGTTGGCCAGGCTGCTCTCAAACTCTTAACTTCTGGTGATCTGCCCACTTTGGCCTCCCAAAGTGCTGGGATTATAGGCATGAGCCACTGTGCCCATCCACACACCACTGCTTTTTGACACCAGGCAGTTTCTGACAAGTCTCCTTCAAAGTACTTGCTGCTGTGGATGTTCCAGTGAGTTTTGGCAAAGTTGGGGAGGATGCAGAGACCCTGGAGTGCCTGCTCTGTATTGGGTACTGTGCTGGGTGTGGCCTCTGGAGACAAGTGCTGAAACTGCTTATCGGCCCCTCCTGGGGCCTTGGTCACACTATAAACTCTTTGAGGGCAGCATGACCAGCTGCTTCCCATGGCCCTGCTTCACCCCAGGTCCTGTGTGGCATTCTTTTGGAGGCCCTGTGCTAGACAGCACGTGCTAGCTGGTTATGCTCAGTGTGGAGTCTGCTGTCCTCTGCCACTCGTCCCCTTCTCACCTGGGCCTGGGGTGGTTATCTTTGGCCATGGATGAGAAACTGAGGCACTGGCACCAATAGCTTACCCCACACATTTCTCTTCCTTCTGTTATCCTTGCCGGGGAATTAGGCTTACAGACGTCTGGGCTCATTTGTGAATGTGTTTATCTGTCTGTCTCCCCACTGTGGCTATAATATCTGCTCTGCAGGCGCCGGGAGCTCATGATTGTGGTCATCGTTACAAGTACTGATCTTCAGGGTTAGTGAAACCTGTTGGGGTTGGAAGCTGATGCCCAGAGCCTGCTGTGTGCCAGGCCTGGGCAAGAGGTTGGCCAAGATGCCTGTGCCGTCTCCCTGTGTGATGAGTCCCTCATAGGATCCCTTTCCTGCTGATATTGAATAACTCCCACATCTTCTTGGACAGTGGCCATCTGTTGAACCTTGAGTTCATTTCCAGGTCTGAGGTCTCCTGTTTGATTTGCTCCATGGGGACTGTGTGCACAGGGCCCAGGGCCCTCAGCTTGTGGAGGTCTTAACTGGAGGAGCCTGGCAGGGCCCCACGTCTCCTCTAGGTTTGAAGCTGGTGTTAGGCTGCCCACCTCAATTCTGTCTTTGGGTCCAGGACAGCACCCCAGACGGGAGCCATAGTATGGTGTCTGGACCCTGCTGTGCCTTGCAGCACAGCTGCACAGAGTAAAGGCTTTCTTCTTCCACTGCAGGTTGTCCACCCGGCCGGAGGTGGCCAGCATCGAGCCGCTGGGCCCGGATGAGCAGCAGTGCTCCCAGAAGGCAGTGGTGCAAGCCCGCCTGACCCAGCCTGCCCGCCTCACCAGCATCATCTTCGCAGAGGACATCAGTAAGGACTGAGTGCTATGTGTGATCCCCAGTGGGAGCCAGACACAGGAAAACACCCCACTGAGACCAAGGGCCCCAGAGGCTACCTGAGCCCATGGCAGTGCTCTTGTTGAGTGGCAGGATGCCCAGGCAGGAGGCAGACACCCAGCAGGCAACACCCATCCCGGGCCCTTGTGCCAGCACTTTGTACCGTGTCCCCTTTTGTGGAGGCTGGCTTGCTAAATTTCTAAATTATTACTTGTTACCTAAATAACTCTTAATTGATACCAACTCATTACAATGACAGTTGTCCTATCTATGAAATCACTCCTTTTTCTTCCCTATATCTAATTTATTATATTGGTTGTAAAATAGTTTGACAGCAACAATGTGATATTCTATCATGCTTTTCCCTACTATAGGACATTCCATTTTACCATACAATGATTTTTTTTTTTTTTTTTTTGAGACAGAGTCTCACTCTGTCATCCAGGCTGGAATGCAGTGGTGCGATCTCTGCTCACTGCAACCTCCACCTACGGGGTTCAAGCATTTCTTCTGCCTCAGCCTCCTGAGTAGGTGGGACTACAGGCAGGCATCACCACACCCAGCTAATTTTTGTGTTTTTCATAGAGACATTGTTTCACTAAGTTAGTAAGGCTGGTCTTGAACTTCTGACCTTGTGATCCACCCACCTCGGCCTCCCAAAGTGCTGGGATTACAGGTGTGAGCCATGGCGCCTAGCCCATACAATGATTTTTAATGCTGAATAATATTCTGTTTTTGTTGTTTTGAGACAGTGTCTTACCCTGTCACCCAGGCTGAAGTGCAGTGGCTTTAACACTGCTCACTGCAGCCTCAACCTCCTGGACTCAAGCAGTCCTCCTGCCCCAGCCTCCCAAGTATTTAATAGCTGGGCATGCCACCATACCCAGCTAATTTTTAAAATTTTTTGTGAAGATGGAGTCTCGCTATGTTTCCTGGCCAATTTTTCTTTCTTTTTCTTTTCTTCTTCTTTTTTTTTTTTTTAAGAGATGGTAGTCTCCCTATGTTGTACAGGCTGGTTTCAAACTCCTGGGCTCAAGCAACCCTCCTCCCTTGGCCTCCCACAGTGGTGGGATTACATGTGTGAGCTACCACACCTGGCCCAAATAATAATCTTAATAGGAGGTTGTCCTATAAGCATTTCCTTGTATTGGGCATTTAGAGTGTTTTCAGATGTTTGTTTCAGTGTTACATATAAAAATAAATGGTTTTATATAGAGAACAAATTAGAGTTCTTTTATGTTATTTCTTAAATTCCCAGTTTTACTGGGTCACAGCCTTGAATATTTTTATTTTTATTTTTTGATATGGAGTCTTGGTCTGTTACCCAGGCTGGAGTGCAGTGGTGTGATCTTGGCTCCCTGTTACCTCTGCCTCCCAGGTTCAAGCAATTCTTCTGCCTCAGCCTCCCATAGCTGGCATTACAGGTGTGTCCCACCATGCCCTAATGATTTTTCTTGTATTTTTATTAAAAATGGGGTTTCATCATGTTGGCCAGGCTGGCCTTGAACTCCTAACCTCAAGTGTTTCGCCTGGCTTGGCCTCCCAAAGTGTTGGGATTATAGGTGTGAACCACTGTGCCTGGCCAAACTTGAATATTTTTAATGCTTTTGGTACATGGGACTGTATTGCTGTGCAAGAAAACAACACTAAAGTTCACAAGTATTTTTATATGATGTCTGGAGAATGGTCAGGATAATTTTGTATCTCTTGCTGCTGTCCTTACACTTGAGGGTTCTCCAGATAATGCCATTTACATACCTTATTTATGGAGCAAGTAAAAAAAACTCTGGGCGTGCCCCCCAGCCCCTTCTGTACTATAGTTGATAGTCTTACATAAAAGACTATCAGCAGGCCGGGCACAGTGGCTCAAGCCTGTAATCCCAGCACTTTGGGAGGCCGAGGTGGGTGGATCACGAGGTCAAGAGATCGAGACCATCCTGGTCAACATGGTGAAACCCCGTCTCTACTAAAAATACAAAAAATTAGCTGGGCATGGTGGCGCGTGCCTGTAATCCCAGCTACTCAGGAGGCTGAGGCAGGAGAATTGCCTGAACCCAGGAGGCGGAGGTTGCGGTGAGCCAAGATCACGCCATTGCACTCCAGCCTGGGTAACAAGCGTGAAACTCCGTCTAAAAAAAAAACACCAGCATATGTGAAAATCGAAAACCACCAGCGTAATCCCTAATCTCAGGGAAGGGACAGGGCTCTCGATTTTGGGATGGGAACTCATAATACTGTAATCCTTGTCACTTCACTGAATGGTCACACCCTGAACAAAACAAAGTTTTCCTGGAGTTTTCTTTGCCCACAGGTTTAAATGCTGGTGCCCTGCTGGAAAGGCCAGAGTGGGTGGTAACAAGGCCCCCACAGCCTTTCCTTTTTGGAAGTCCCTGTTAACTTTCAGTGGGGCTGTGTGCAAGGCAGCTGCTTGGCTTCTGAGGGTAAAGTTGGTGGTAGGGTTTTTGCCAGAGTGAAAAACTGCAAGGCTTGGAGGTAGAGCCGGGGTGGGGACTGTCTTTGGTGCTGACCCTCCCTGGGGTCTCTCCAGCCACAGGCCAGGTCCTGCGCTGTGACGCCATCGTGGACCTCATCCATGGCATCCAGATTGTTTCCACCACCCGTGAGCTCTACCTGGAGGACTCCCCGCTGGAGCTGAAGATCCAGGCCCTGGACTCTGAGGGTGAGGATGTCCCCCTGCCTGTTTGTCCTCTGCAGCCCATGGTGGATTGTCCCCCCACCATGACCCTGGCTTCTCTGCATTCTCCTCTCCACTGATGTCCAGCCCTGCAGATCCTCTAGAGGGCAGCTCCCATTAGGCAGCTGAAGTTGGTGTGGGGGGAGATGCTGAAGAGGCAAAAACCACCTCTGAGGTGGACCTCAAGCCCTAAGTGGCATCAAGTCATGGTCACTACTGGCACTCAGGAACCCCTGCAGCAGGGCCTATGTGCTCTGAGCTGTGACTCTGTGACCCTGGAGCCAGACCCTGTCTGTCATGGTGCCGTTCCTTGGGGCAGCACATCTTGAGGAAGCTACCATTCTTGGCAGCAATGGGAAGCTGGGAGAGGCTGTCTGGGGCCATGCTGCCTGCTCTGGCTCTTAGGGCTGGTGGTGGCTTCCTGGTCCAGACTGCTGAGCATGTGTGTGGATCAGATTACATCTACACCCTGGCCCAGGGCACTGCCCTCACATCTTCACCTCGCTGGAGTCAAATATGGGCTTGTTCCAGGCTGGGATTCTTCTAGGTGATCTCTTAAAGGAAGTAAGGGAAACTTTTTTTTTTTTGAGATGGACTCTTGCTCTTGTTGCTCAGGCTGGAGTGCAATGGTGCCTCTTGGCTCACTGCAACCTCTGCCGCCCGGGTTCAAGTGATTCTCCTGCCTCAGCCTCCTGAGTAGCTGGGATTACAGGTGCCTGCCACCATGCCCAGCTAATTTTTTTTTTTTGTATTTTTAGTAGAGACAAGCCTTCACAATGTTGGCCAGGCTGGTCTCAAACTTCTGACCTCAGGTGATCCACCCGCCTCAGCCTCCCAAAATGCTGGAATTATAAGCATGAGCCACTGTGCCCGACCACGTAAGGAAAACTTTGTAGGTTAAAATTCTTGCCTATTATCCCATCACTTTAATCCCAGCCAGCTGTTCGGGAGGCTGAGGCAGGAGAATTGCTTGAACCCAGAAGGCGGAGGTTGCGGTGAGCCGAGATCGTGCCATTGCACTCCAGTCTGGGTAACAACAGCAAAACTCTGTATCAAAAAAAAAAAAAAAAATTCTTGTCGGAGAAAATAAGGCAAAAGATGTCTTTCAGATGATCTACCCCAAAACCAAGTTCAAACCAAGGCTCACCTTGTCTTTGAAACCTTTTCTGAGAACTCTAGCTCCTCTTTTTGAAAAAAAATTGTAGATCAGGATTCTTAGCCTAGATAGTATTGATTGACATTTGGGGTTGAATAATTGTTTGTGATGGGGGCTGTCAGTGCATTATAGGGTGTTCAGCAGCATCCCAGGCCTCTACCTACTAGATGATAGTAGTATCTCCCAAGCCATGACAATCAAAAATGGCCCAGACATGACCAAATGTCTCAGAGGCCAAACCACTGTTTAAAACACTAGCAGACCCCTTCTTCCCACACTTACTCATTCATCAGATAAGGCCCTTAACCTCTGACACTGCCATCTGACCTGTGAGATTGAGATAACGATGCTTGTCCTGGGGACCGTAAGGACTTAGTGAGAAATATGTAAAGTGTTGTCTTGCATGTCTTACTCAGTAAGCCAGGGGGTGTTTCTCAGCACTTTCTGCAAACTAGACATTGTTCAGGCACCAGGGCTGCTATAGGGAAAGAAGGACCTAGCCGCTGCCCCCAGAATCTCAGACACAGAGACACAGGCACAGCCTTAGATGATATGAAAATGAGTGGGCACATTATTCTATCTAATGTGTTCTAATGTGGCTGTGTTCTAATAAAGCTTTGTTTATAAAAATAGAGGGGCAGATTTGGCCCAGGGGCCGTAGTTTGCCAACCCTTACTTTTGACTACTCTGTTGTTTCTTCCCTTAAGTCATTTAAAAAGAGATGTTTTAATTGTATTGAGATTTATATCTCATGAAATTTTACCTGTTTCAAGTGTACAATTCAGTGTTTTTTGTAGATTCACACAATTGTGCAAACATCACCATTGTCTAATTTCAGAACATTTTCATCACCCCAAAAGGAAGTCCCACACTCATTACAGTCACTCCCCATTCTCTTCTCTCTCCAGCCCCTGATGACCTTGAATCTGCTTTCTGTCTTTGCATTTGGCTGTTCTGGACATTTCATGTGAATAGAATCACAGTGTGTGTGTGCAGCAGTATACAACCATACATACAGTCTTTTGTGACTGGCTTCTCTCACTGAGCACGTTTTCAAAGTTCATCTGTGTTCTTAAGTGTGTCTGCATACTTAATTCTTTTTTTTTTTTTGAGACAGTTTACCAGGCTGGAGTGCAATGGTGCCATCTCGGCTCACTGCAGCCTCCGCCTCCTGGATTCAAGCAATTCTCTTGCCTCAGCCTCCTGAGTAACTGGGACTAAGGTGCATGCCACCATGCCCGGCTCATTTTTGTATTTTTAATAGAGACAGGGTTTTACCATGTTGGCCAGGCTGGTCTCGATCTCTTGACCTCAAATGATCCACCCACCTAGGCCTCCCAAAGTGCTGGGATTACAAGCACGAGCCACTTCACCTGGCCCGTGTTTCATTCTTTTTGTGGCTGAATGACATTCCATTGCAGGGGTCAACCGTGTTTGTTTCTCTGCTCATCCATTGATGGACTCTTAGGTTGTTTTCACATTTGGCGGTTATGAATAATGCTGCTGTGAGCATTCACATGTAGACATGGGTTTTCCGGTCTCGGGTAGGAATGGAATTGTCGGGGCATAGGATAACTGTGCTTAACTGTTTGGGAGCTGCCAGGAGGTTTCGCAAGTGGCTGCCGTGTTTCAGATTCCTGGGGGAAGTGTGTGAAGGTGCCGTGATCTCCACATCCTGGTCAGAACCTGCTATTGTTCATCCTTGTAGTTCTAGTTAAACCCCCTTTAAGTCACTTTTTGCTTGAATGTGCATCTGTCCTCCCCAGGCAGGTGGTGGGGATGTTGGGATTGGGGAGATGCCTGCCCAGGCCTTCCCAGGTCAGTGTTATGCCAGGAGGGTGCCCAGAGGCCTGGATGGTTTCCTTTCACACTCCCTGCACTCCTGAAGGGTTGATGGCCCCTGCGGCCAGTTCCAGAGTAGGACGTCATCTATTCTCCACAGACTGAGTCATTCACCAACAGCCCATGTCAAAGCCCCACCTTTGCAGCAAGGAAATGGTTAACTCCCTTCCTTGTCCTCATCCACTGTGAGGGTGTCATGCTTTCTACTGGGTCCTCATACTTTGATGAGTACCTTCATCATTTCTTTTGCCTTTTTTCTTTTTCTTTCTTCTTTTTTTTTGAGATGTGAGTCTTGCTCTGTCACCAGGCTGGAGTGCAGTGGCACAATCTGGGCTCACTGCAACCTCTGCCTCCGAGGTTCAAGCAATTCTCCTGCCTCAGCCTCCCTAATAGTTGGGATTACAGGCATCTGCCACCATGGCTAGCTAATTTTTGCATTTTTAGTAGAAACAGGTTTCACCATGTTGGCCAGGATGGTCTTGATCGCCTGACCTTGTGATCTGCCTGCCCTGGCCTCCCAAAGTGTTGGGATTACAGGTGTGAGCCATCGCGCCAGGCCCTTTTGCCTTTTTTCTGAGCCTGCAAACTCTTTTATGGTCAGAAGTCTCCTCTGTGAAGATGAACTTGACCTTTAGAACCTTTGAGTGTCTGTCAGTCCCAGAAATGATGTGCCTTATCAGATTGATGAATGTCAAGAAAGATAATTGCTCAACAAACAGTGGCACCCTGGCTGCCCATAGATGCCAGGCAGTGTCTTGTTCCCTTTGTAAGTACAGTGTCTTATTGTGCTTATAAATGGTCTGATGCCCACTGTATAGACAAGGAAGCTGAGGTTCAGCCTCAGTAACTTGCCCACAGTCACACAGCTCATGGGTGGCCAAGCAGGGGCTGGGATCCAGGATGCCTGACTGTTGCCTGAGCTCTTTTCCACCTGGATGCACGGGCTGTCTCCTGCTGCTGCATTTTCCTGGGCATTGGGGGCCCTCCCAAGTGGCTGGGATCTGCCTTTTTGGCCAGAAGCTGCCTGTAGAGTGCCTGCCTCCAGTCAGTGTTCTCACAGCTATTTCCTGGGCCACTCATGCCTCTTGCATGAGCAGAACTGGACTAGCTCAGGGTCTCCAAAGATGCCCTGCCTCACCTTTCCTTATGCTGTCTCTTCTGCCTGAAGCACCTTCCCCTCCTGAACTCTGCTTTCAGAAGCCATGCTTCCTCTGGCATTGCCTCTCAGGTGTGCTCTCCTCCAGGAAGTCCTCCTTGGCTGCCCAAGGTGGGACTTGTTCCTCCCTTCACTTTCCCTCAGCTTTTGAGTGGCCCCTTCACTGACCCTGGGGTGCCAGACATTTTCTACTGTGGCTTTTTGAGGTCAGCGCTTGGAGGACTGAGATCAGTTCATTCTTCTGGACCCTTTTGTGTCTGACACTGGACTTTGCCCAGCTGGCATCAGGTAAATGTTTGTTAAGTTGAATTGCTTAACATTTTCCTGCAGCCATCCTGCAGGACAGGGGAGGTAGATCATCTGGAAACCGGACTGCTGGCTTTCATGGTTACTATCTAAACTTGGCTGTGAGGCTTCAAAGTCAAGGGCTCTGTCTGTTGCACATAGTAGTACTGACAGCTTTTTTTTGGGTGGAAAAAGCAAAACTTTGGGCAGAAGTTTCTTGAGAGCTTTCCCTGCCTCCTTACTCCTCAGCAGGCCCTTCCCCACCTCCATCCATAAGCGGGCTGTTGTGAACTGTAGACATGTCACTAAGCAATGTTTCATGTGAGACTTGAGACTTCATGGGGCCAGGGATAGGGGTGAAGAGAAGCAGGACCCCAAGCCTGTCCAACTCTAAATACCTTGCACTTTGCACTGTAGAAACAGCATTTCTTGTCCCCCAGATACCCTGTATTGGGAGCTGGTTAGAAAGGGAATGTGGATGAGGGATGTGGAACAGGTGTGGGGTATCAGGGGCTGGCAGATAGTGTGGGGTATCAGGGGCTGGCAGATAGTGTGGCATGGCCCCTTCTAGAGAGGGCGAGCAGCTTCTGGCCCTCAGGGAATGAGGTCGAAGTGGCAGGATCTTCAGCCTTTCAAGGGAAGGTAAGAACTAGGTTTCCAAGTGGCATCTGTTTCTTGATTGGAAAGGACAGGTCAGAAGGCTTCCAGGCAGCAAGCCAGGACATTAGAGCTAAGGCTGGCTAGGCCTGGCCCTCCACTTTTAAAAAGGGACCGTGCTTTTAAAAAATCACGTAGCAGATCATGAGGAAAGCAGCACAGTTGTGAATACAAGCTCAGACCTGGAGCCTGCACCAGCACTGGCTAAGGACCTATGTGGCCCCCGTAAAGAGACAAGAGTCGTGTGACCCTAGACAGTTGGGGTAATGCCCCTCCTCCCTGGATCCCTGCTCCTGCACAGGGAGGGAGAGGAGTTTACTATCAGGAGGTGGTGAGCAGAAGCAAATGGCCCAGGTTTCTGAGCAGCCTCCTAAACTCTGGAATGCTCACAGACGTGTGGGGCAGCAGTGTTAAGCACTGCACTGAGCTGGTCTTGCAGTCAAAGGCAGGGAGTCACAGCAGGAAGAGCACAAGCTTTCACCTGACAGCCCTGGGTTCAAATCCTGGCCTTGCCCCAGTGATCACATGATTGTGAAGGTCTTCATTCCTTTCAGCCTCAGTTTTCCCTCCTGACATGCAGGTCATGACACTTGCCTGGTGGTGGGTGATGTGGAGTGTCGTTCCTGTGTGGGGCAGAAGCTCCTATCCCACCTCCCTCAGCCCTGGGGAATTAACTCCATGCCTATCTGCCCCCACGTCTGCTCTTACAGGGAACACCTTCAGCACCCTGGCCGGACTGGTCTTTGAGTGGACAATTGTGAAGGACTCCGAGGCGGACAGGTTCTCAGACTCTCACAATGCACTGCGGTAAGGGGTGCCTCTGTCAGGCCTGACCCCCTTTGAAGGGAAGCGGGAAGCGGGATGTCTGTGAGGTCCACACTGGCCAGGGGCTTTCATCTTAATCAGTGTGGAGCCTGGGAGATTCTCAGGATGCCTGCAACATTCCAAGTGTCTGATTAAGGAGGAAGGTTCACTTATACTATTGTGCGGGAGCCTGGATGCTTCTGCAGCCCACAGAGAGTGTCGTGTGGGAAGTTGTCAGAGGCTTGGGACGTCCAGCTGGAGAAATGAGACACACATGGCTGTCTCAGGGTGCAGGGGAAGTGTGGGTAGCCCCAGGCTGCAGTTCTGGGAGGCTAGTTAAAGGGTAGCCAGGTTTTGGCTGGCGCATGGGCCAGCTGTGTGTGCCAGCCTTAGGTGGAACAGGGTTAAGTCCCCCATATGGCAGTGTAGCCAGACTTGTTTTGAGGTGGACGCCTTAAATGTCTTGACCTGTGTCATCCTCCTGGCTGCCATGTGAGCTTGCACACAACTGTGCTCTCCATCGAGTGTTCCCAAAGGCTGAGACTTGGAGAGGCCGATTTGCTTGTCTGAGCTCAGGAAGGGCAGAGCTGGAGTTTGAACTCAGATCCGTGGATCTTCACTGTCTCCATGGGAGAGACCAGCCGTGGGAGTCATGGGCCCCAGGGCTATTTATTTGTAGTTAAAAAATGAGCGGTTCAGTTCTTGAGATGCTCTAGTCTCCTGTCAGTGGCTCACTGTGCTGCCACGTGTGGGTCAGGGCAGGAGGAGAGCCACACGGGTCCTTGGCTGGTGCTGGTGCAGGCCCCAGGTCTGAGCTTGTATTTGCAACTGTGCTGCTTTCCTCATGTTTTGCTATGTGATTTTTTAAAAGCATGGTCCCTTTTTAAAAGTTGTTTTTGAATGTTTTTCTCTTTTGAATGAGTCTCTTTTTGCAGCAACTTTAGGCCTGTAGAAAACCTGCCAATGCAGTCCAAAAAGTGATTTCCCTCACTCACCTGAGAGCCTATTGCCAGCCTCATGTCCCGTCACCCTGATGATTTTCATGTGCTTTACAACCATCAAGGACATTGTCCTGCACAGCCACCATGCAGTCATGGTGCTAGAAAACGAACATTGATGCTGACCATCTTCAGACCTCACTTGAGTTTGGTTACTTGTCCCAGTTTTATCCTTATCAGCAAAAAGAAAAATTGCAGCCCCGAGTCACCTGCCACATGTGTTCTGTTTCCCTTAGTCTCTATCAGCCTGGGAAAGTCTCCTGGGCTTTGACTTTGGACACCACGATGCTTGTGAAGAGGACAGTCTAGTTATCTTTAGAGCAGCCCTTGTTTTGGGTTCATCTGCTGTTCCCTCACGGCCAGGGTCCGAATGTTGTGTCTTTGGCCAGAATATCTCAGAATCGACACTCTGTTCTTGTACTTGCTTCTGATCTGGGGAAGTACCTCTCTCACTCCTTCATAATGCTAAGTCCTTTGTTGGGGAGTTTACTGTCTGGTCTCTCGTTATGCCATTAGAGTCCAGGTCTAGGCCGGAGGGGATGTTGGGGATGTGGTGGTCCAGGGCTCAGCTCACAGTGACTCAGGCAGACATCTTTACATCCTGATGCCTTTGTGAGCCAAGCAAGTTGCCCTCCTGGAGGCAGAGCCTTCTGGACCAGCTCTGTGGTTTCTGGTGTTTTGAAAACCATGACCATGGGCAGGGGAGTCAGAAACTTGGATTCCAGTCCTGGCTTTTTGGCTGTGGTCTTGGTCAGGGAACATTACCCACCCGAGCCTCAGCCTTCTGCCCTGGGAAACACAGCCGGAGGGGATCTCTTGCCGCCTATGAGGGCCACTGTGCAGCTCAGCAGGTTGATCTAGTCAGGGCCCCTCTCTGGGCCTGGCGTGCGCTGGGTGTTGAGGGGATACTGATTCCCTGTCCCCTTCTAACAGCCCCGTTGCCCAGCACGTTAGGCCTCTTGAACTTCCAGGTAGCTCTGCACCTGAGCCAAATGCTAACGGAAATCCCATATGCCAAGACAGATTGGAGTTGGACTGTCCTGGATTTGTAGTCAATTTGACATGTGACGCCTAGAGTAACCAGGAGAGGAAATAAATCATGGCATGGCCCAGCATTGGCAGATTTTTCTTTTGCAGGGGAACAGTTGGCTTGTTTGTAAACGCAGGCTGAAGTGGGAGGCTGCATGGGAAGGATCCCTGAAGCCAGGCCTGTCCAGCAGCCCACACTCCAGGCTCCACCACATCCGCAACATTTCCCCAAGCTGGGATCCAGGGGTAGTTAGACGTGGTGCTGTCCGGTTCCCTGGGCTAGGGGACCAGCCATGGAGAATCGTTCCCCAGAGCTGGGCACTAGGCCGGGGAGGTGGGACAGGAGCAGGCAGCCTGGGGGAGGCGAGGGTGCTGCTGGCCCCGCTGCAGCTGGGCTGTGCTCTTGGGCCTGCTGCCTCCTCTCCTGGCCTTGCTGTTCCCATGTGGACTCAACGGCTGATCTTGCGTGTCAGTGTTTATATCACGTGTGCATGTGGATAAAATGCAGATTCCTAGGCATCTTGCAGATAAAGCCTGGGCCAGTGGCCAAGAATCTGCATTTTCACAGGGACTTTGGTAGTTCTGATGTAGGAAGCTGCAGGGACATGTCTCTAGGCAGCCCCAGCCCTGACTAGGGTGCCACCCCTTATTTCTGCATCAGCCCCAGTGGGAGGTACTGATAGGGAATGCTTTGGTAGAGTCTGATGAATCTCGTGTTGGAGTTTGATCAATGAACTTTGACAACATGCTCCTTTTCCAGAATTCTCACTTTCTTGGAGTCTACGTACATCCCTCCTTCTTATATCTCAGAGATGGAAAAGGCTGCCAAGCAAGGGGACACCATCCTGGTGTCTGGGATGAAGACCGGGAGCTCTAAGCTCAAGGCTCGAATCCAGGAGGCTGTCTACAAGGTGGGCCTGGGGCACTGGGAGGCAATGGGCTTCCTGGGGTGGAATCAGGCTGATGACACCTGCTCACCCCCACAGACACATTGAATAGTGGAAGTGAGACACTGTTCCATGATTTTAGGATGTGGGTTCATATTTTTATGTGTTTGGTTTGGTTTGGTTTGTTTGAGCTTCAGCTTACAAAGAAAGTTGATTGAGGCCCCAGAAAGCATCTGTAGAGGTGCAAAGCATTTGCTCATTCTCAGTTCCTTTTTTCCTTTTTTTTTGAGATGGAGTCTTACTTTGTTGCCAGGCTGGAGTGCAATGGCATGATCTTGAGTCACTGCAACCTCCGACTCCTGGTTCAAGTGATTCTCCTGCCTCAGCTCCCTGAGCAACTGGGATTACAGACACGCACCACCATGCCCAGCTAATTTTTTTTTTTTTTTTTGAGACTGAGTCTCACCCTGTTGCCAGGCTGGAGTGCAGTGGTGTGATTTTGGCTCACTGCAACCTCTGCCTCCCGGGTTCAAGCGATTCTCCTGCCTCAACCTCCGAGTAGCTGGGACTACAGGCACATACCACTATGCCCAGCTAATTTTTGCATTTTTAGTAGAGATGCAGTTTTACCATGTTGGCCATGATGGTCTTGATCTCTTGACTTCATGATCTACCCGCCTCAGCCTCCCAAAGTGCTGCGATTATAGGCGTAAGCCACCACACCCGGCCAGTTTTTGTATTTTTAGTAGAGATGAGGTTTCACCATGTTGGCCAGGATGGTCTTGATCTCCTGACCTCGTGATTCACCTGCCTCAGCCTCCCAAAGTGCTGGGATTACAGACGTGAGCCACCATGCCCGGCCCACTCATTTTCAGTTTCTAGGGAGGTCCAAGAGCAGGAGGTTCTCAGTAACTCACCTATTTCCAACTGGCGCCCCCACTGAGCTGGTATTGGGGCACTCCCAAGCACTTGGGGCTTTGACAAAACCCAGGCTCCTGGGTGTTTTCTGTGCTGTCTCTCCTGTGCCCCCATTGGAGCCCTGAGACTGGTGGCCCAGGGATCCCATGTGTAGATCTCCTCAACTCTGCCCCAGCCAATCCCATGTCTTCCTGGCCTCACCAGCATCCGATTCTCCGGGTAAGCAGTGGGGGTGTCCAGAGGAAAGGAGAGTGAGGAGTTGGTCTATCTAACGTCCTGGTTCCTTCCTTTTCCCTGTGGGCTAATGTCCACCCCACATGTGCCTCATTTTGAGCTGTAACCTGGAGATCTTTTTGTTTGCCTAGTAGTGCCTGGTGCATAGGCAGGAGCGCTGTGGTTCTTGGCCTGCCATTTAATTTTATAAAGTGGCAAACAGAGAAATCCTCTTCTGATTCACTCTCTAGTGGGTTTGCTGCATTGGAGAGTCCCGGAAGGTTTTGGAAACATAGGGACATGCCATGTTATAGGGGCTAATCCTGCAAGACTCTGCAGTTAATATTTGGAGACAGTTTGCTCCTGCATAGGGCCCAGGGCTGGGATGGGGTATAGCTCCACCGCTAAGCTGGAAGGCAGACTTGGCTGTCCTGGCCACAGACATTCAGCGGCCTTCCCTGCTTGTGTGCTGGAAAGCATCCACCATAGAGCCCTGCCCATGGTGGTACCTGATAGGCTTGTCTCTTTTGAACACACCGAAGATATTATTAACTAGTTGTTAAATGAGGAACCCGTCAGATGTGACAGCAGGCTTAAAGGAGAATCCAAAGAGTAGCCACAGTCCACCAAGTACGCTGAACTGAACTCACAAAAATGCAGAATGCCCACACCCACAGGAGGGCAGTCAGCTGTGCCTCCAGCAGAGAAAATGTTTTTGAGTTTCTGTGGACAAGAATCGTTTGCTTTGCTGTCACTTTTCTACAATGTACAGCTCCATCAAACAGCCAAAGTCAATGAAAGGTGCAGGCCTCTGGAGAATCCAGTACCTGGGGGTGCACTCGATAGGGCACCTCGTGATCTTTCTCCCATCGGGAAGTTGCTCACAGGTTTTCCTGAGGAGGGAGGTGGTCACAGGTTGGGGGTGAGAGGTGGGCAGGGGAAGGGGCCAAGGAATAGCCGCTGAGGGCTCATCACAGCACATGCGCATCTCCTGCTTTTTACATTGGCCTAGTGCTTCTCAAGATCCCTGGACCTTTTGTGGGGAGAAAACTTGAGCTCCTGGTGGCCATAGTATCCCTAAAGTTTGCCCTGGCTCCCCTCTTTTAATCCCATTTAATCATGTTGTACATAGAGTTAAACCACACGCAATGTACAGCTAGTGTGAGGGCTCAGTCTGGGTAATGCTTTTGGTGTCTGCTGTCCTTACGGAACTCCCCTGGGACCTCCGGGGTCTGAAAGTAAGGATTTGGGAATGACTCTTGTTTCTTTGCTTTTAACTTCCCTATTCCTATGTTTAAAACAGCTCTCTTTCTCTTGTTTCCTCCGCCACTCCTCCATTCCCTGTCCACACCTCACTTTATCCACCTTCTCTTTATGCCAAGAATGTACGCCCTGCAGAAGTCAGGCTGCTGATTTTGGAGAACATCCTTCTGAACCCGGCCTATGACATCTACCTGATGGTGGGAACCTCTGTTCACTACAAGGTGCAGAAGATCAGGCAAGGGAAAATTGCAGGTGTGTCACTGGCTCTGCCCTCATGGCAGATGCTTCCCTCCTTTTTTTTTTTTAATTTTGATTACATATATGTAACAAAATTTACCAAGAGCAAATATCTTAACCGTTTTTAAGTGCTCAGTCGGGTAGCATCAAGCATGCTCTTGCAGCCATCACCACCATCCACAGAACTTGTTCATCTTTCCAAACTGAAGCTCTGCATTGTGAGAACATTAACTCCCCTTCACCCTCTCCTAGCCTTTGGCACCCACCATTCTATTTCCTGTCTCTGTGAATGACTACTCTGGGTACCTCATATATGTGGACTCATGTAATATTTGTTTTTTTATGACTGGCTTTTGTCACTTTTTTCTTAGCCTGATGCTTTCAAGGTTCATCCATGTTGTAGCAAGGGTCTGAATTACCTTCCCTTTTAAAGCTGAATAGTGCTCCATTGTGTGGATGGATAGACCATATTCTGTTTACCCATTCATCCATCAACAGACACTTGGGTTGTTTCCACTTTTTGGCCATTGTGAGTAATGCTTCTATGAACATGGTGAGAAAATACCTGAGTACCTGCTTTCAAATTCTTTGAGGTATATGCCCCTTCAGTGGCAGCAAGTCCAGAGCTGTGGACTTTGTGTTGAGCTGGGCTTTGCCCCTGGTCTGCAACTGACAGCTGAAAACTTGGGCATGCCACTGCTCATCTCCAGGGCTGTTTCTCATTGAAGCCTTTGAGGCCTTTCTGCCTGGGCTGTGAGGACAAAATGAATCAATAGGAGTGGAGTTATACTGTGTACTTGTGTTTAGATAGTGATGGTTCTTAATGGAGTGCCAGTCCTCCTAAGGATCGTTATCATTTTGTTTAAAGCTATGTATGTTTAACAGCCAGAGCATAGGACCTGGAGGGTCCTGGTCACAAGAGCTCAGGGCCAGTCCATCCGAGGGCCTCGGGTAGGTGACTTTGCCAGGTTGGCAGGTTGGTTCCACCTGTGATACAGGGTGTCATTTAAGAGCAGGCAGATCACACTTCAACATAACAGCAACTTGAGCAGTGTCCCCAGATGATGGGAGGTGCTGTGCTCTTTAAGGTCCTGCTTAGCTGAGAGCAGTTGTCTGGTTGGTCATGCCTGCGTGGCAGAACACTTGGTCTCTCAGGAGGACAAGGAAGCTGAGGACAGGCGCCCCTGCCTTTGGGCCCAGTTCTCTCTGGCAAGGGGGTCCTAGCTGAAGGGAAGCAAACTCATGTTTCTTAATTCTGGGCAGGCAGCATCTGCCCTTCTGCAGGGTGTCAAGTCAACAGGGAAGGATGGCCTACAGTAGGATTTGTAGGAAACCAAGTGTGGGTGTCCTGGTCAGAGGCTGATGTTTACCCAACTTCAGGAAAGCAGATTCCAGGACAGGGACAGACTGAGATGTGGCTTTCTGAGACTCTGAAAAGGGATGAGGCTCCAAGGTAGAGTTCTGGGGACACAGACACAGCAGCCTAAAGACGAATGCAATAGGGGAGCATGTTGAAAGGCCAGAGGGCACAAACAGGAGGTCTCAGAAGTATAAAATTATCCATGAACCCTGATCAAGAAATGACACTGTGGCCTGGAGTAAGATGCTTGGAGAGCCTGGTCACTGCTAACAGCACCTAATCATGACTGAATATTTCCTCAGTGTTGGGCAGTTCTAGGTGCTTTTCTTTTTTAAACTACTTTTATTTTTTAGAGACCTGGTCTTGCTATGTTGCCCAGTCTGATCTCAAACTCCTGGCCTCAAGCCATTCTCCCGCCTCAGTTCTGAGTAGCTGGAATTACAGGTGTGTGCCTGGATATAACCCAACAGCACTATGAGGTGGATTTCATTAATACCCTGGTTTCATACATGAAGAAACTGAGGCATAGAAGACCTGAAGCTCACAGAACTGTTGGGCTCCTTAGCCTTAATCACCCCTATAGGATCGATTGGAATTTCCCTCTGCCCCATCTCCCCAAAGCAAACCCAGAAAAAAGGTAATTATAACAACACGGGCGGCCCAGCGCAGTGGCTTACGCCTGTAATCCCAGCACTTTGGAAGGCTGAGGTGGGTGAATCATGAGGTCAGGAGTTCGAGACCAGCCTGACCAACATGGTAAAAACAGGTCTCTACTAAAAATACAAAAATTAGCCAGGTATGGTGGCACGTGCCTGTAATTCCAGCTATTCAGGAGGCTGAGGCAGGAGAATTACTTGAACCTGGGAGGCGGAGGTTGCAGTGAGCTGAGATTGCGCCACTGCACTTCAGCCTGGGCAACAGAGCGAGGCTCCATCAAAAAGAAAAGAAAACAGAACAAAACGAAAAACAGGGTCTTACAGTATCTCAGGGCAGCAGTGAGGTGGTCTCTTTGCATGGGACTCAAGAGGCATGAAACTGCTTCAGCTGGGCAAGCAGAGCTCATGTGGTTAAGAGGGGATGGACTGGCTTCAGAAAGAGCTCGTTCTAAATTAGCTCAGGTATCACAGCCCAGATGAACTGTACCTCCCAAGGTACCTGGAAAACTAATGGGCTTAGCCACTGAGCTGACTGCCACAGAAGTCAAGGAATTGGAGCACACGAAAGATTCCTTAGGACAGGAAAGGAAAGAGGCAGGCCACCTCCCTTTCATCAGTGGGGTGATGAGATGTGAAAGTACTCCAAAAATACACATTCCTGTGCGATTGATAGCACTGGATGCCACGGCACTGCAGTGGATTCCAGATGGCAAATGGAGAAGGGCCAAGCTAGCAAAACTTCCCCATGAACAAGACACACCAACAGAAACTCCTAAGTCTTTTAGACGAATTGATTTGGGGTATTTTTGAGGGAGAGTCTCACTTTGTCACCCGGGTTGGAGTGCAGTGGCATAATCATGGCTCACTGCAACTTTGATCTCCCAGGCTCAAGTGATCCTCCTACACCAGTCCTCTGAGTAGCTGGGACCAGGGGCACATGCCACTATGGCTGGCTAATTTTTTTTTTTTAATAGAGATGGGGTCTTTGTGTTGCCCAGGCTGGTCTCAAATGCCTGGGCTCAAGTTCTCTCTCCTACATCAGCTTCTCAAAATGCTGGGATTATAGGCATGAGCCACCATGCTCAGCCTAGTTGGATTGATTTTTTACTGAAGTATAATTAACATGACTCTGTTGGCTTTTGCAGGTTTGCAACACAGAAAAGTGAGGGAATGGTGTCTTCACAGGGGACCTGAATTTCAACAAATCCCTGTCTAGCACGGCACCCTGTGGAAGGCTCAGAGCATTTTAGGTTGGATGACAGTTACATGGGGTTACTAACATGGGATGATTATAACTGCTGATTAACTCTATATTTTCTTTTCTTTTGGGTTTCCTTCCTTAAAGTATTTTTTTCTTCTTTGGTATTTTTATTTTCTTTATGCCTGCCTCTCTTCTTTTCTCTGGCTGCTCCCTTTCTTACAAACACACTTCCTGAGCATCTGCTCTGTGCCACCCTTTGCTGGGTGCTGAGTGCACAGTGATTGGCAGAGCTGCCTGGTTCCTGCCCTTCTGAAGCTCACAGCCTAGTGGAGGCGGATCACAGTCAGTCACATCATGTCTGCAAGTGAGGCCTGTGAGTGGAGGAGATGGGCTTCTGGGCTTATAGCAGGGGCATCTGTGTTGCTTATAGAAGGATGGGCTTCTAGTGGGGGCTGTGGTCTCCATCTCCAGTCTGCAGTCCTTAGTCCTGTTGGTATTTGGATTGGTTGCACACATGACTGCCACAGCAATCAAGTTGTTAGATGTAACAAAAATGTGGGAAAGACATGCTGGCTGATAGAATCAGTATCTGAAGAGAACTTGATAGAATGGTAGAAATTACTGAAATAAAACGTACTCATTTTGCAAAACCAATGGCATGAACATGTGTTAGGCTGAGGTTCATGTGTCAAAAACTCAGTTGTGAAGGGACTTTGAATCTGTTAGGCACTTAACTATGGCTGCTCAGAACTAATGGATCTCGGGCTGCATGAGCAGGGGCTGAGGTCAGAGGAAGGGGAGTGAGCTCTCCATCATCCCTGACTCAGACCCCACTCCTCAGGAGCTCCATGGTCATCCCTGGAGCTCATGTAGAGCGCAAGGTCCAGGAGTAGGGGTGCTGACAGAAACACATCTTGGGGGATCATCCAGGGCCAGCAGAGGACAGAGGTCATGTCTTTTAGAACAATGTGGGCCTCTTGGCCTATAGAAGGGCAGCTGTTCACCCCTGCAGATCATAGCAGGGATGATCTGGGGCCTTAGGAGTAACCTTTCTGTTGTTGGCCCAAGAATTCAAAGACAGGAACTGGGCAGTGCCCTTAACATCTACAAAGACTTCCACATTCAATGTCTTTTATAAGGAGTGAGTTTCAGGTTACAGGGGGTATCTAAGGCCAGGTATGGTGACATTCATTGGTAGTCCTAGCTACTTAGGAGGCCAAGGCAGGAGGATCACTTGAGCCCAGGTGTTCCAGGCTACAGTGAGGTATGATTGTACCTGTGAAAGCTACTGCACTGCAGCCAGGGCAGCATAGTAAGACCCTCTGGAAAGAAAGAAAGAAATAGAGAGAGGGGTTGGGGAGGGAGGTATGTAAGGAGTCTGTCAAAAAAACCTCCTTATTTTCAGTCTTAGGATTTGCAAGGTGGGTTACATCTGTGCTATGTATAACCCCTTCAATGTAAGCATTTTCATTTCCCAAAAGGACCTTACTCATTTAGAGAACTTGAAAATAAACAAGGGAGGAAGCTAGTGCTTCATTAATCAGTATAAAGTAATATTGCTTCATTGAGCGACTGTGTTATTTTATTCTGACATTTATCTTTGATGTGCTGCTCTATATTCTGAACACTGGATACATAATCTGCAAGAATCACTTGATTAGAGATGAGGACGTGGGCTGTGCACTCCCTATGGGATTCTCAATTCTAGCCTGCATCAGAATCACCTACAGGGCTTGTGAAAACAGAGCTTGCTGAAGCCCACACCGGTGTTTGATTCAGCAGGTCTGGGATGGGGCCCATCATCTGCAGTTCCAGGTGATGTTGATGGTTCAGGGACCACACTTTGAGGACTTAGTGTTCTAGTGAAAATTATTTAATGCTTATTAGATCACACAAAAAATACCCCAGGACAAAGGGCTAGGCAAGTTGTCTCTCTTTTAGAATTCTCATCAGAATCCCTGGAGATTGTGAAACATGCTTTAGCTGAAATTCCTCTGGGAGCCCTGACCTGGCATCCTGTATGGCGTATTGAAGCCCTGAGCTGGCCTGAGAGGAAGGCCAAGTAGGGATGTTGTTTGCTGTTCCCTGTGTCCTATTCTTTTGCTGGCGGGCTAGACTGTTCCACCTGTGGGGACAGTGAGTAGGTGACTGGTTAGGAACCTCCACGGACTTAGGAGAGTGAATGTGGAAGTGGTCAGGCTCTCTGGATCAGAATCCCAGCTGTTTTCCACTAGCTGCGCGACAGTGTGGAGGCTGCTCATCTGATGTCCTCAGTCCCCTATCCACAAAACATGGCTCTCATTAGTGTGGGCTATTGAAGGATGAGGTGAGGGAACATGATCACGAGACACTGCATTGTTTTGAGGCATCTTGATCCCTTGTCAGCAGTCACTATTGCTATCAGAAGTGCTTGTGGTCTCTGCCCAGAGGGCAAGGAAGATGGACATTGATGTGGCCCACTTTATAGAACTGTTATTTCCCAGGGAAACTGTTCTCCATCCTAGCTCACTTTCTCAGTTGGGCAAGTTATTTTTCTGCCAAGTGGTTATGAAGAGCAGGGGCACACTGAGGCTGGTGAGGATGGCAGCAGGGTTCATTGTTTGCAATTACAGACTCCTTGGAAGAGCAGTGACCAGAGCTTCTTAGGAAAGCCTTAGAGGCCAGACAGAACCAGCAAGAACCCTAGTGCCGCCAAACAGCTCCCTCTACGTAGAAGCAAAGAGTTCACTTTGCCATGTTCAGAAATGGTGTAATGTTGGTATTCTCCAAGCAGCTGGCAAATGGAATGTGGTTGACTTTTTTTTTTTTTTTTTTTTTTACCGAGAAAAAGTCTTGCTTTGTTGCCCAGGCTGGAGTGCAGAGACAGAGACTTGGTTCACTGCAAACTTCGCCACCTGGGTTCAAGCGATTCTCCTGCCTCAGCCTCCCGAGTAGCTGGGACCACAGGTGCCTGCCACCATGCCCAGCTAATTTTTTCCGTTTTTAGTAGAGATGGGGTTTCACCATGTTAGCCAAGATGGTCTTGATCTCCTGACCGCACGATCCTCCCGTCTAGGCCTCCCAAAGTGGTGGGATTATAGGCATGAGCCACCTCGCCCAGCTGATATTTATTTTTAACAGCTTACAGCAGACACATAAAAACTGATTGCCTCTGAAAATTCATGGAGTGTCAGCTTTGTCCACTAGCATGGAGAACAGTATTAAAATTTAAAGCACTGAAAACAATTAAGAAAAAAATGCGGCAGCTGTACTGACAGCAGGGTGCAGAGATTCGGGGTGGCGGTGGGAGTGTATTGGCTTCTAACATTTTCTGTCTTTGCTCTCTTTTTCCCTGTTATTTTTTGTTTCTTGGTGACCAGAACTCTCCATGCCTTCTGATCAGTATGAGCTGCAGCTTCAGAACAGCATCCCGGCCCCTGAGGGAGACCCAGACCGGCCGGTGGCTGTCTTGGACCAGGAGACGTCAGTGGTCACTGCACTGCAGCTAGGACAGAGCAGCCTCGTCCTTGGCCACCGGAGTATCCTTTTCTCGGGATTGTGTGTGTGCATAGGCATGGCGGAGCTGCTGTTTGCAAGTCAAGTAGTTTTTTCCCTGAAAGCTTGGCAGGGCTAAAAATAGCCATTTCCCCTCAACAGTCTGAAAAATCAGAAAGAACTGAAATAGCACTGCTGAGTGGAACTGCTCACGGCTGTGGGTGACTCACCCCAAAGGCTCCCAGTGGTGGGAGGTGATGGCAGGAGCTGAGTGTCATTTCTCACCTCCAAAACTTCTCCAGTACCTGCAGCCTTCTCAGAGGGGGCCTGGCGGGGGCTGTTTCCATACTAGCATAATGGAGTATTGATGCCCCAGACTTGGTGTGTCCTGTGTGGTCCCCAGTGTCCCTCGCAGAGGTTCCCCTTTGCTAGTGTAGCAAGTGCAGTGTGACCTTTGATTCTGAAAAGTGCCTTTGCTCTTTGTGGCTTAAGCCAGCTGCGTTTTCATTCCTTCTCTCCATGTGACGTCTTGATGATCAGGATTCTGAGCCAAGCTGAAACTAGCCACCAAGCTGGTTTATTTGCTGTTGTGTGTTGCCCCTTAATTAAAAACTCAGGTATTCGAATGCAGGGTGCTTCTAGGTTACCCAACAGCACCATCTATGTGGTTGAACCTGGATACCTAGGTGTGTGGGGCCTCCTAGCCTTCCTGGATTCTGCTCTATTGTGACTATATGAGTTTAAAAAATAAAAAAGAGGCAATAGCTCCACAGAAAATGCTTCCCTCTGGCCAGCTCTGCCACCTGCCCAGGGCACTCACCAGCCCTTCCCTATTTGGTGCAGAAATAGGTAATGTGAGCCCAGCCAGGCAGGCGACAGGCTCAGCAGGGAGAGAAGCAGAACTGGGTAGAGTGGTGACTCCAGGTTTTCATACCACAGCTTTGCCCAGAACTGACCATTGCTATGGATAATTGGAGATTGGAGCACAGTGACAGCTCAATTATAGAGGGACCCTAAGGTGATGTGAGAGTAGGCAGGTGCCTTAGCAGGGAGGGGAGGAACCTGATGATGGTATTGAAGGCAAGCATTTTCTCAGAGTTTTTGTGGGAAGGTGACCTGTCAGGTAATAGGTTAGGCAGTGGTGTGGAGATGAGAAAGCACAGGGCATCTCGGGACAGCAAGAGTGCTGCAGCATCCCATGTGGGAGGGGACTGAGGGGCCTAGAAGGGCAGGGCTGACTCATGGCAAGAGTGTTCAGTGACAGGCTTCAGAGTGTAGACCTGCTGAGGGTTCAGAGCAGAGACCTATTGTGAATTCAGAGCGTAGACCTCCAGAGGGTTCAGAGTGCAGACCTGTCGAGGAATCAGAGCATAAACCTGCTGAGGGTTCAGATGGTAGACCTCCTGAGGGTTCAGAGGGTAGACGTGCCGAGGGTTCAGAGTGTAGACCTGCTGTGTGTTGACAGAGCTGCTGTGGATTCTGAGCATAGACCCAGTGATGACGAGAATGAGTTTGAAGAAGCCTTGATCAGACAGTGGGATGAGTCCAGGGTTGGTCCTGGAGAGGTCAGTTCAGGACTTAGGGCTGAAGGTGGCCGTCAAGCTTCTGCTCCTCAGCAGCAGGTCCCTCTCCACAGAGGAGGCAAGGGCCAGAGTTGTGGGGCCTGCAGGTGGGTGGTGTGGGGCCTGCAGGTGGGTGGTGTGGAGCCTGCAGGTGGGTGGTGTGGGGCCTGCAGGTGGGTGGTGTGGGGCCTTCAGGTGGGTGGTGTGGGACCTGCGGGTGGGTGGTGTGGGACCTGCGGGTGGGTGGCTTCAGGTGGGTGGTGTGGGGCCCTTAGGTGGGTGGAGTGGGGCCTTCAGGTGGGTGGAGTGGGGCCTTCAGGTGGGTGGTGTGGGGCCTTCAGGTGGGTGGTGTGGGGCCTTCAGGTGGGTGGTGTGGGTCCTGCAGGTGGGTGGTGTGGGACCTGCAGGTGGATGGTGTGGGGCCCTCAGGTAGGTGGTGTGGGGCCTGCAGGTAGGTGGAGTGGGGCTCACAGGTAGGTGGAGTGGGGCCCACAGGTGGATGGAGTGGGGCCTTCAGGTGGGTGCTGTGGGGCCCGCAGGTGGGTGCTGTGGGGCCTTCAGGTGAGTGGAGTGGGGCCCACAGGTGGGTGGTGTGGGGCTTCCCAGGTGGATGCTGAGGGCTCCTGTGCTGAGGGAGGTGGTCCCATTCTCTTCTGCCCTGATGCCCCTGTGGCCAGAGTGCTCAGCCTCCTCCTTTCTGTTTTAGGATTCACTGTTCATCCTGGTGACAGGTGGGTGCTAGAGACTGGCCGCCTATATGAAATCACCATCGAGGTTTTTGACAAGTTCAGCAACAAGGTCTACCTGTCAGACGTGAGTTCCCGTTCAGGTCCTGGCTGGGGAATGAGGTGGGGTCATTGCCTAACTCAGCTGCTGAAGAGCAGCCCCTACAGCAGCAGGAGCCCCCTCCCCATGCTGGGGCCAACTGGGGAGGGATCCTGTTTCTAGTGGCACTCCCAGGTCTGTGGGAGACACACTAAGGTGTCCCGGGGTATCTCCAGAGCCTGCAAGTCCTACAGCAGAGCCCCTACAGGACTGGAGGGCAGAGGGTGCCACAGTGGCAGGGCTCCAGGAGAGGGAATAGGGAGGAGGCCTCTGCCTGCCACCTGCCCGCCCCCTTCTCCCCAAGCTGGGGACCTCAGAATCCAATTTCTTGCCCTGCTCCTTAGGGAGGACATCCTGACTTTCTCCCTCCTGGGCTCCACCCAGAAATACCTGGAACCCTGGGTGACAGAGGCTGAGCTCAGCACACTTTCTGATTCTGGAAAGGGGTATCAGACAGATGGGGAAATGTGCAGGGAGTCTCAGCCACCTTTCTCTCCCCTGTGAGAAATTCCAGGCTCATCAGTGAGCACCTCCAGACCCTTCTGGGTGGCGTTGAAGATTTAGGAGAAGGAGGCGAGGTTCCCCTTAGTGTCCTTGCAGAAGTCATTGCTGTGTTCATATTATCAAACAAGGGCTGGGATGGCCACCATTTGCATTTAGCTGTAGGGGACATGATGTCCTTTTTCTGTATTTATTGGTTCCTTATTGAGACCTCAGTAGACTCCAGGCTGCCCCAGGTGCCACATGGGGAGCTGAAACAGGAGCACAGGTCATCGGGCCACATAGGGAAGACAGCCTGGGTGGGGACAAAGGCCAGAGTGGTCAGAGCTCCATTCCAGGGCCCGACCCACCCATCTGCCCCTAGTGGAGGCAGCTAAGCCCCAGGTGGCCTGTTGGTCTGGCCTGGCTGCTGGTTTCAGTCCTGTAGCTTCGTGCCCAAACTCTGACTTGCCAGTCACCCCAGAAGCACCTCTAACCTGTTCTGCCTCGCTTTCCAGAACATTCGAATTGAAACCATGCTTCCTGCTGAGTTCTTTGAGGTGCTCTTATCCTCCCAGAATGGGTCATATCATCGCATCAGGGCACTGAAGAGGGGCCAGACGGCCATCGACGCAGCCTTCACCTCTGTGGTAGACCAGGCAAGTTGGTGTCTTCCCTGCTCTGTGCCTTGGCCTCTGAAACCCCAGGTGGGTCATGGGTCCCAGGGAGTCAGGCCACCAACGTCTCTTTGCCTGTCTGGGCCACTTGCTTCCTGGGGTCTTTTTTGCCTTTGTCTTTAAGAAGCCAGTGAGCCTCAAGGAGAGCTTTGCTGATTGGAAAATCAGCCTGGTGTTCCTTTTCCTACCGCACACAGAAGCCCCCTTGGTCTGGAAGGGGCTGCAGTCTATAGCAGGAATAAACACTGACGCACCAACAGTGACTCCTGCCAGAGTTGGTTTTCTCAGATCTTGGGGTTGGACATGCTGCTTGAGCTCTCAAACCTCACTTTCCCCATCTGTAGAGTGGGGTAACACCACATCTATCCTGCCAGCGTGCTCTGAGGATTCAGTCAGGCAGTACTTCCAGGAGTGGCCCTAGCAGAGCTATAGAAACCCATCCCTGTGGAGAACGAGAGGGCGACAGGGTATCTGGCACCTTCCTTTCCACTCTCCCCCAAAATTCGTCTTTGTGGCCTGATCCTCAGGGAGGGTCCGGGGTAAGGTGACTGGGAAAAACTGCTGGTGACATGGTTGTCATGGTGATATGTGGCACCCTCACCCCTTGTAGGATGGAGGGGTCCACACACTACGGGTGCCTGTGTGGAACCAGCAGGAGGTGGAAATTCATATCCCTATCACCCTCTTTCCCAGCATCTTGACGTTTCCTTGGCAACCAAAGACGGGTGCCTATCAGTACACAATAAAGGTAGGTGAGACCCCCACCTCTGGGTGCGTTCCTTTGATGCTTCTATGGGATTGTGGCTTTTTGTACATTTTATTACTTTTAGTATTCTCTAGTGGTCATAGAGAATTTTAAATCATAGTCTTTATGATTTTTGTTGTTTCCTGAGGTTTCCATCATAACAATGCATTTTGTAATCAGGAAAAAAAAAACAACAATGAAAAAATTGAGAATAAGGCAAGGTAGAGTTCTAATACCTGCAGTCCTAGCACTTTCAAAGGCTGAAGTGAGAGGATCACTTGAGCTTAGGAGTTTGATACCAGGCTGAGCAAAACAGGGAGACCTCCATTTCTACCAAAAGAAAAAAGAATTGAGAAAAAATACAATAAAAACCTGGAATAAGATTTGAATTTCATGAATGTTTATTTTTCTAAAGATTGTTTTTTGAAAGGGATATATTTACACACTCTTAGAGAAAACATTCAAATTTAAGTGATAAGTATCTCCGACCTCGTCACATGGGACTTATCACTGCTCTGACCTTAATGCTTCCACATGGTATTAGCCGGTGGGACTCACCTCAGATGGAGCTTTAGTCTTCTTGGTCAGCTCAGGGCGCATCAGTCCTGCTGTCCCTTGGAGTAGTGACAGGTGTCCTGTCTGTGCACTGACACTGGCTCTCTGCTCAGCTGTGTCACTGTCCTGGCCTCTTGGGTTCTGGGGTTGTTGCCCCTGGTCTGGGGGCAGAGGCCTGGTCACTGACCTCCCAGCCGATGATGAGGAGCAGGCAGAGGTGTGTGCTGGGAACTTGTGTCTGATAAGGGAGGCAGCATCCTACAACTGGCTCCATGACCTGGGGTTCTCCGCACTCCAGCCTGAGCTCTGGGAAGTGCTACCGGGTTCTAGGGCCTCTGTCATGGGCGTGGTATTTGTATGTGTCAGTCTCAAGGTCCCCAGAATATGAGGACAGAAACGAGACAGGACGGAGAGGGTGAGGGCAAGGGGAGCCTCCAGGCAGATCCCAGCTGATGCCACATTTTTCCCTGCGATGGGCATCGACCTTATGTGTCAGTGAGGAAGTGGCCACAGGTGTTTTAGAGTCTGTGAGAGTGTGTATGTGTTTGAGTGTATTGCTGTGAGTGTTATATTTGTGAATGTGTGTGTGAGAAAGTTTGAGTGTGTGCATATTAGGATAAGCTGGTGGGAGTAGGTGAATGTACATGACTCTGCTGTGGGTGTGAATGGTGAGTGGGTGAAAGTGAATGTGAAGGTAAATGTAAGTGTGAGCATCTGTATGAATGAGTAGGTGTATGTGTGTCCATTGTGGGTATGAGTGGTGAGCATGAGAGTAAATGAGTGTGTGTATGAGTGGGCAGGTGAGTGCACTTTGGGTGTATAAGTGTGAGAGTGAGTGTGTATGAATGAGTGGGCAAGTAGCTGTATATGTGAGTGTGAATGGTGAGTGTGTGCCTGGGTGAGTCCATGAGTGTGAGCGTAAATGCATATGAGTGTGAGTGCGTGCATGCACACACATATGTCTCTGATCCCTGGCTTCCCCAGCAGGCTGAGGGCAGGCGGCCAGTTCTATAATGGCTTTTCCTCTGCAGGCCCATGGTGGCAGTGGGAACTTCAGCTGGTCTTCGTCAAGCTACCTGGTTGCCACAGTCACTGTCAAGGGTGTGATGACCACAGGCAGTGACACCGGGCTCAGTGTGATCCAGGCACATGATGTGCAGAACCCACTCCATTTTGGCGAGATGAAGGTGAGAGCTCAGGGCCAAGACACCCCGTGAGGCTCAGGTGTTGGACTCCAGCCACCCACTCTCAGTGAGCCTCAGCTTCACACAGAAACACCCCCAGCCCTGAGTCCTGTACTTAGGAGCTCATGGCCGTGTCAGGAAGATGGACAGGATGTGTCTCACATCAGGCAGCAATGGTCCTAGAGGGGCCAGCATCCACAGAACTGGGTTTCTGGAGAGGAGATCATCTAAGAGTCATTCTAGAAAATTCCCTAGACCTGAAAGGTAGGAATCTCAAATTGGAAGGTCCACCAAGCACTGGGTTGTAAACTCACAGTGAAAGGGCACTGCCAGGCTTCGAGAGACCAGGCCAGACTCCTCTCCCCTCACTCACCTGCGGATACGAAGGCAGGTGTTCCCCTGCACAGGTCCCCACACCTGGCTTTTGGCCCTGAGGGATATGGGGCCATCTCACTTCACAATGGCACCAGGTAGCAGAGGTCACAGCTGAGCCTCTGCCAGCCCCATCTGTGACCCCTGACTCCAGGCAATACTTGCCTGGTGCTCTGACCTCAGCCCCTTTATTCTTTCATTTGGGGCAGGAAGGGAAACCCCATGGAGTCCAGCTGCAGCCTGCTCTCACAGGGATGGATAGGCTGGCCAGTCTTCCACTTGAGACCCATAGCTGCCTCTGTCCAAAGCCAGGCCTGATTCTCATGGAGAGGGGCTCTGCACCAGCCATTGAGACTAAGCATGAGGTCCAGGATAAACTGGAACCCCCATCCCCTCACCCCAGCTTCCCCTTGGTAAATGTTCCACTGTTCGCCCAGCAGCCCAGCCAGATTCTGAGGACAGTTCCTCAGGAGGCAGCATACATCCTGGGTAGAACCTGGCTTTCAGGGCCAGCCTGCAGGGCTCTCACTCAGACCCAGCATACTGTAAGGGAGCTGGCCCTTTCCCATCAGGCCAGCGCTTCACCAAGTAAGTGGAATTAGGGAGATCCCTCCTTAAGCAGCAGGTAGAGAGGACTGAGGGAGTCAGCAGTGCGCTTAGAACAGAACCTCTAGCACAGGGACTCTGGTTTTATACAAGCATGGCTGTGCTTACCTCTCCTGGCTTCAGCTGCTCTACCAGTCTATCCAGTGAACCAGACATTCAGAACTCATCCCACATCTCACTGGTCCTGACAGGCCCATCCTGGCTTACGCTGCCGCATCTCTCACTGGGGCTTTCCAGCAGCCTCCTCACCACACTGCTCACCTGGCTGCTGATCAGTACACAGAAGCCAGGGTGTTGGGGAACCTCTGAAGTTCCCCAGCTCAGCCACAGTGAACATGGACTCCTCATCATGGCCACCAGCCCCATCTCTTTCCACTGCCCCTGTGCAGTGCACTTCGGCACACTGGCGTCCATGATCCTCCAAGGCACTAGCCTGGTAGGTGCTGCAGGGCATTTGCACTCACCTTCCCTTCACCTGGAGTGTCTTTCCCTCCAGCTTTGCCTGGCTGCCTATGCTATGGCTCTCAGGTCTGGGGTCCTAGGCTACTCCTCAGAGAGCCCTCCCTTGCTCTCTGTCCCTGAATCATCCCACTGCCTGGGACAGGTGTCTCACAGACATATCCTTGGTGCCCAGCACACAGCAACTCTTAGGAAATCCAAGCAACAGAACTTGCCTCTCCCATGGAGGCTGCTGAGCCTAGTCCATGCCCCTGTCTTCCAGGTATGTGTGATCGAGCCCCACAGCATGGAGTTTGCCCCGTGCCAGGTGGAGGCACGTGTGGGCCAGGTTCTGGAGCTACCCCTGAGGATCAGTGGCCTCATGCCTGGCGGGGCCAGTGAGGTGGTCACCCTGAGCGACTGCTCTCACTTTGACTTGGCTGTTGAGGTGGAGAATCAGGGTGTGTTCCAGCCACTCCCAGGTAAGCCAGCAGTGCTGAGCAGGTGCCAGACACTGGGACTGGGGCCAGATTGCCTGGCTTCTCAGCATGGACTGCCCAGATCCCAAAGAGAGGCTTGAGGCAGCAGAGGAGATGCAGTGTAAGGAATGGCAGTTGTCTCCTGATTCACCATCAGCTCTGGTCTGGCCTGGATCTTGCCCACTGTGACTTTGGCAAATTGCTGGCTTCAGTCAGCCTCAGTTTTTGCATCTCGAAGCTGTGTGTCATCTACATAGAATCAGATCAAAGTGCCTATTTCAGTCCCTGGAATGCAGCTGGTATTCAGAATGCATTGTCAATAGGGGTTTGGTTAGTTCTAGAGTCCTCTCACCTGTGGCAGGCAAGGCCCACCCATCTGTTCTCTGCTTTGGGATTTTGGTGGTGACATGGGTGGAGTCTGCCTGTGACAGTTCAACCCTGCCAGGACAGGACAGGTGCATGCCTGACCTCATTAGGACTTTACAACCACCCTAGGAGAAGGATCTGTTGTTGAGCTATGTGACAGATGAAGAAACTGAGGCTGTGTAGCTGTAGCTGCCCAAAGTCACACATGGCCTGGGATAGGGATGGAGGACAGATCTGGGTGTGGCTGACACTGACCCTGGGGCTTTAGTCACCTGTGAAATGGGCCCTAAAGATAAGGCAAGGAAGAGAAGCCTCTCTGATTTGCAGAAGATCAAAGGACCAGCGAACTATTGAATATGAGTAATATTTGGGCAGAGTATTGGAAGTTAACAGGGACACCATTTGGTGGGCAGGGGTGCCTGTCCCAGGGCCTGGAGGTGGGCAATCTGTGGTGCTTGTGCACATGGAGGACTGGGAATGGCAGGACCCATTGAATCATGGAGGGCTTTAGAGGGCTTGGACCTAGTGTCCAGGCAGTGGGGAGTCACTGAAGGTTTTTGAGCAGAAGAGTGATGTAATCCCAGCAGTGTTTAGCCAGCTTTATTGGCAGAGGTGTTTGTAGAATCGCTTGTGATGCCAAGTGGCTGTGTATGCAACTGTAGCTGTAATGGCATGCAGAACTTTTGCAGTTTGAAGGAGGCCAGTATCTGAAAAATCCCTGAGCAAACTGCATCCAGGAGAAACTAAGCTCATGAAGTCTACAGTGTCATCTGCCAGGTAAACTTTTAGGATGCAGGAAAAAGCCTTGTGCGTGGGAGAGGCCTGCTGACAGCAGGACCTGAACCATTACCCCCCTTTCACTGCCTGCCACAACCGTCCCGGAGGGGGAGTCTGCAGGTTGCTGCCTAGGCATGGGGTCAGGTTCCAGTGAGTAAAGTTCAGGACTTGGAGTTCCACAGGTCTGGGTCTCAGCCACTCTATTCCCTTGCTGGCTGTATGATGCCGGTGTGCTGCCCAGCTTCTCTGAGCCTTGAGTTCTTTAACTATAAAATGGGATGACAGCTCTTGTTTATTGTGACAGTTACAAGTGATTATCCCTCAGCACAATGCAGGGCGTTTCTCCAGGAGTTTGAGTTCTGAAAACAGCAATCAAGATAGGAATCCCATGGTATCAAAGTTCTCTTAGGAAGTGGCTTGCACCGCCCCTGGTATGGAGTGTGCATGGTAATGTTTAGGGAGGTGTGTAGGGCCCAGGCTGTATGAAAATGTGTATCTTAAAGACCTGGGCCCTGTCAGGACAGAGATGCTCACCCCATGGGGCTTAAGAGCATGTCTGGTCAGCAGGTTGACCTGTCCCTATAATGCCTACCCTGGAGCTTACTCAGCTGTGGAAACAGGTTTGATCCTATATTAGGTAAACTCCCTGTGCCACCTCCCAGGCTTAGAGTACCAGTGGCCAGACTCTGATCATGGCTCTGAGGAAGAGCCCTGGCAGCCCTGGTCCAGGCTGGCCTTCCCTCTGTGGCTCCCTCTGCTTACTGCAGTTGGACTTTATGGTCCCATTTCTGCCTTGCCTTCTTGGTTGGCATCTTCTTGAAAGCCCCTGGGCACTACTGTGAACCTCTCTACAAGGTGCTGGCATAGACAGAGTTATAGAATATATTGAGCCCAGATAAAAACCTACTCACACAGGGTGAAATGATTTTTGGCAAGGGTGCCAAGACTGTCCAATGGGGAAAGGACAGTCTGTTTACCAAATGGTGCTGGGACAACCGGATAGTTACCCGCATGCGTATGAATGAAGTTCGACCCTTCTGTAACTCCATACACAAAAATTAAGTCACAGTGGATCAAAGACCTAATATAAAATTGAAAACTACGAAACTTCTGAAAGAAAACTGGAGGCAAGCTTCAGGACATTGGAATTGGCATTGATTTTTTTTTTTGGCTATAACACTAGATGCACAGGCTACAAATTTAAAACAGCTCGGACTACAACAAAAATTAACAAGTAAACCAGGGGTCGTGAGTTCAAATCTTGCTGGGGCCTCCAAATGAAGTATTTGGGTGAACGTCAGCCAGGCGGTCGCTTATCCTCCACGGTGACACTCTGGGGCCCTGGGGCAACTCGGGGGGTGCCTCCCCTAGAGGCCCCTGAGGTGGGAGCGGCCGCCCAGGCGAGACTCTGAGATGGCTTTTGTCTGGTGATAAACAAAAAGAATAGTATCTCGCTGTGGCCTCCAAATGAAGTATTTGGGTCACGTATAAAATTATCAACCAAGACAAAAGTATGCCAAATTGCAGGGTCTTTATTGCCAGCGACCACAGAGGACTCACATCTCTCCAACCCGTGGCCCCAAACTCAGGGGGATCAGGGTATTTAAGCTGAAAAACCACATTCTGGTTTTAGGATTGAGTGGCTGCAGGGCAAGCAACTTTACAGTAACTACTGTTAAGCAAAGGCCAGACAGTTTATTCTTTAGAGCAAGCCAGCAGTTTTGTTTACAGAAGCCAAGGTCAGCAGTGATTGCGAGGAGAATGGGGCAGATTTTTGGAAAAACAGCTTGGTCTTATAAAATGGCGTTGCTCAGGTTCTAACTCTAGGCCCGCTATAGCACAGACGCACAGGCTACAAATTTAAAATAGACAACTCGGACTACAACAAAAATTAAAAAGTTCTCTATATCAAAGGACACAACAGAGTGCAAAGGCAGCCTACAGAATGGGAGGAAACATCTGCAGATTGTAAAAGGGGTTCATATCTAGGATATGTAAAGAATTCCTAAATGTCAGCAGCAATAGCACCAACAACCCAGTTAAACAGGGAGACGACTTGAATAGATATTTGTCCAAAGATGATACACAGACCACAAGCACAAGGCGGAGGTTGTAGTGAGCCAAGATTATGCTAGTGTACTCCAGTCTGGGCAACACAGTGAGACTCTGTCTCAAAAGGTGATTTCAGGGTGACCATCTGGTTCTCTCCTTTGTGCAGGGAGGCTGCCACCAGGCTCTGAGCACTGCAGCGGTGTCCGGGTACAGGCCAAGGCCCAGGGCTCCACCACACTCCTTGTGAGCTACAGACATAGCAACGTCCACCTGAGTGCCAAGATTACTATTGCTGCCTACCTGCCCCTCAAGGTGAGTCAGGAGCCCTGCCCTTCACCACCCACCCTGCCCACTCCTTCTGGATGCACATTACCCATTTGACGAATTTGCATGACAAACCCAATTCCTTCAAAACAGCTTTTGGCACAACTCCCTCTCCTGTGATTTCTGGCTAAAAGCAGGATCCATGTGGAAGGGGATGAGCCTCCCTGATGGGGCAGTGGTTGCAGGCGTCTCTGTGGTTACACGAGACAGCACTTGGCAGGCTTGGCAGGACACCAACCTGCCAGCCTCACCCTACGAAGGCAGGAGTGTGGGCTGCAAGGGCTTTGGAAGTGTGTTAGGCAGCGGTCAGAATAGAGGGGCGCTTCCGCTTCACTCCAGAGCTACCTACCCTTCAGCTTCCCCACAAAGCCCTAGAATTGGGACAGCAGCCCTGTGGTGTGGCAGATGCTGAGGCCTCCCAGACTGGGGTCAGGGAGGATCTGCCCTGGCCTAGTGACAGTCCATCCCACTTCCCATCTGAGGATGGTGGTGGCCATGACCTGTGTGAAGCAGAACCCATAGCTTCAGTGTCCACACCACCCTCCTGAGCTGAGTCCAGCCTGACCCTCCACCCACTCTTGGGCCTCACATTCCCTGCCTGTAAAATGGTCCTGAGACAGTACCTGCCTCATAGGGTCATGAAGAGGATTCGCTGAGTTCGAGAATTGAATGGGCTCAGAATGCAGTCTAGGGGTAGTGCAGGCTCAGGAAGGGTTAGTTATTAAACATGGATAAGAAAGAACTGGGCTGTCCTCTGGTGTGGGTGTGAAGGCTCCATGTGAGGGTTGCCATGCAGGAGGCTGTCTACTGTAATCATTCCTTTCGTTGAACTCTGCCTAGCATGTAAAAGGGGCAGAGAGGGTTTGTTGGTGAGGCGTTCCTACTCCTCCTTCCGAGGAGGGCTGGAGGGCAGTCGTAGGGGAGCCCCAGCCTCCCTGGCTTAGCCAGGCAGTCCTTGCATTTTTCTGCTCCTGGGGTCAGCCTCGAAGACAGCTTTGGTCCCCATGGTTTGTATCATTTTTTTTTCTTCCTGTCACGCATTGGAAGCAAACTTGGTGATGTTAGGATCTTTTAGCTCTGAACCCCCAGCTCTGGGGTTCAGTGCCTGGCACAGAGCAGACAAAAACGAAGGGTGGTTTTGTTTATAATGAATGATTGAGGAAATGTTTCCAGGGTCACCCAGCCAGGGCAGAACAAAGCTTCCTGACTTCCAGAGCAAACATAGGAGATACTTCTTAGATGTCCATTAGTGATCAGAGGCCTAGCCCTGCTCCTTGTCCTCCACCCATTTGTTCCTTCAGCACATAGGCATGAATACTTACGTGTGCAATCCCTGCTGCAGTCCCTAGAGATGCATCAGGGCAGAAAACAGAACTTTGTCTCCACGAAGTGACATTCTGGCTATAAACAAAGCAAAGAATGTGGCTGGGCGTGGTGGCTCATACCTTTAATCCCAGCACTTTGGGAGGCTGAGGCAGGCAGATCACGAGGTCAGAAGTTCAAGACCATCTTGACCAATACTGTGAAACCCCATCTCTACTGAAAATGCAAAAATTAGCCGGGCGTGGTGGTGTGCACCTACAGTCCCAGCTACTTGGAAGGCTGAGGCAGAAGAATTGCTTCAACCCCGGAAGCAGAGATTGCAGTGCGCTGAGATTGTGCCACTGCACTACAGCCTGGGTGACAGAGTGAGACTGCATCTCAAAAAAAAAAAAAGAATGTATTTTGCCTCTGCTTGCCGTGGATAAAGTAGAGCATGAAGGGGTGATGAGGGTAGGAGTTTAAAATGAGGAGGTCGAGACTTCCCCCAACCCCTACTCAAGCAAAGCACTGCAGAATGTGAGAGTGTCAGAGAGCAGAGTGGAGAGAGTTGAAATCCCTGAGGACAGTAGGCATTCTGGGGTTGCCTTGCCACACCTTTTGGGAGCTGGAGTGTTTTACCAGGCACCTGGGGAGAGGTTCTTTGGGGCCCTTCCTGGATGCTGGCTCTGGATTATCAGGATGTTTGGCTGGAGCAGCAGAAGCCAGAACCTGAGCTCACAGTCCTGATCTGGGATGTAAGGATGAGGATAAGGTGGATATGTCCCTCAGTGAGGTGGCTTCCTGACTGGACAGATTATAGAGAAAAATGGATATGGTTCTCTTCTCCTTTCATCTCTCTTCTTCCTAGATAGCAGTTGAGATCAGGTTTATTTACAAGGAATAAAAGCCAAGCAACAGGGACTTAACAATACTGGAATTGATATTTCTGTTGCAAGTGAGGAATATTTGGAATATTTGGACTTTGACACCCGCTGAGGAGCCTGCACAATTCATGAGCGTCCTTCATCAGCTGCGTTGTTAACCTGTCTTCTTGGCACAGGGTTCTATGACACTTTTATGCCTGAGGGAGAGAATTAAACAGGAAGGTGATAATTCCTCATCCTCCGGTTGTTAATCGTAGGACACAGGTCCTTCCAACAGTTCTTTGTCTTCGGGGTGGTCATGAAAATATCTTTGGAAAGATATACAGTGGCCTGCTTTGCCCATAGTGGGGTTTTGTTGGCTGTGGCCATGAGGTGTGGGTAAGAGCATAGGATCAAGAGTCAGAACAGACCTGGACCCACCAGCTGGGTTAGCTTGGTTCAGTGTCTTCATCTGCTGGGATTCATCCTTTCTGTCTATAAAATGGGAATGACAGTTAATGATAATAACAGTTGTAACAGCAGGGGTCATTGATTGAGCATGTACTAGTCACGTGTTCAGGACTGAAACAGCCTTGTAGACATTAGTTTTTTTAAGGTCACACACTAGCTTCATTCCAGTGGGGATAGAGAAGCAAATGCACAAATGATGGTATATCCAGTGGTGGCTGATGGGTGGAGATAAAGAGTTGAGCTGGAAAGGAGGTGACAGGTGAAGGGTGACCCTGTCCAAGAAGGTGACACCCAGGCAGAGGCTTGAGTAGTGAGCAAAACTGGGTCATGCCGCTGTCTCTAGTGCGGAGTTTTGAGAGTAGCAGAGGTGAAAGCCCTGACTGAGCATGCTTAGTGCTTCTCCTGCTGGAAACAGGCCTCGCCTGGGTCTGTAGAAGGTGGAGTCCGGGAATGGGTTTCAGCAGGGGCACCACAGACTCCTTGGAATTGTTTGTGTGCGAGCACATGTGTGCAGGGAGGGATGCCCAGAGACAGTTGATAACCTATATCAGATTCAAAAAATGTTCGTATTGAAAAACAAAGTCAAAAAGACAGAATTCTCACTTGAAAAGTGTCATAGTCTGTTCAGGTCACCTTAACAAAATACCCTGGACTGGATGGCTTATAAACAACAAAAATTCATTTCTTGCAGTTCAGGATCTGGGAAGTCCCAAGTCAAGGCACCAGCAGATTTTGGTGACTGTTGAGAGTTTCCTTACTTATAGATAGCCATAATTTGGATGTTTGTGTGTCCCCAAATACATATGTTTAAATGCTGACCCCCACAGCAATAGGAGCTGAGGCCTTTGAGGAGTGACTAGATCATGAGGGCAGAGGCTTCGCAGCTGGGATTAGTGCCCTTGGAAAATAACCCAGAGAGCTAGCATGACCCTTCTGCTGTGTGCGGATGTGGTAAGAGGTTTTTTGTGGGCGGGGAGTAGTCTTGCTCTGTCACACACTGGAGTGCAGTGGTATGATTTTGGCTCACTGCAACCTCCACTTCCTGGGTTCAAGGGATTCTCTTGCCTCAGCCTCCCGAGTAGCTGGAACTACAGGTGTGCGTCACCACTCCTGGCTAATTTTTGTAGTTTTAGTAGAGGCAGGGTTTCACCGTGTTGGCCAGGATGATCTCGAGCTCTTGACCTTGTGATCTGCCTACCTCGGCCTCCCAAACTGTTGATGTTACAGGTGTGAGTCACTGTGCCCAGCCTGGGAATATTTTTCTTATAAGATTTTTCCTTCATGTGGTTAAGATCATGCCACGGACGCAGAAGGAAACAGACACATCCTACCCTCCACGAGCCCATAGCCTGATCGGGGAGACCCCCAAGCCATGAAGCTCCTTCAGGGTGAGGAGCACCAGGTGAGGTGGGGGCCAGAGAAGAGTGACCTGGACCACAGGTTGGCACTGGGTCGGGGAGGAAGCAGGGCATTCTGTAGACCAGTGTGCTGAGCCCTGTGGTGTGAGGAGGGGTCGCCTGAGTGATTAGGGACAAAGGCAGGAGGGCAGCTTCTGCAAAGACCTGGGGACAGCTGAGCATGGCTCTCTGGAAAGATGCCAGTAGTGTGATGTTGGGACTGGGGCCAGGTTGGGAGATCCCAAGTTCCTGGACAGAAGCTCAGCCTGTATTCCGAGGGCTGTGGGTGCTGTGGAATAGTTTAATGCACAAGAAACATGGTCAGGTCTGTGTCTTAGGTAAGGGACACGCAGCAACTGTTTGAGGGTAGAGTAGATTGATAAGTGAGGACTTGACAGTCACCACAGTGAGACCCTCTGCAGTGGGAGGTGAGTGCAGCTGGGTGAGGAGTCAAGGAGCAGGGCTGCAGGTCCCCTCAGAGTGAATCACTCCTCTCTGCACCCCTGCTGTGTCACTGGAGTGAGGGGTCCTCCTGTGGAGTAACCACATCTTCCTGGAGGTTGGGTGGGAATGACACCCTGTTACACAGAATCTAAGCACTGCCATTGCCCATACTGGGAGGTCATGGGGCCCTTGGCACCATGGTTGTCCTAGGCCGTGGAGGAATTGAGAACTTTTTGTGACATATTACTTTAATTATTCCTTTGTTTACTGGATACTTTAAGGACTCCACAGTTTTACTTGCCAACTCGCTTTCATTCACCAAATAATTGTTGAGCAACTACTATGTGCCAGGCATGGTTCTAGGTGCCACAAGACCCACCCTTGATGCGTGTGCATACCTGGTACGAAGTGTGGGAAGCCTGGTGGCTCAGAAGGAAGGGAACAGACCACTGACAATGATGCCACCTAGGACATCATGCAGATATCTTGGTCACTTGGCAGATATCTCTTTAGGATGGTTTTATGCTTTTTTTTTTTTTTTTTTTTTTTTTGGGTGAGATGGAGTTTTGCTCTTGTTGCCAGGCTGGAGTGCAGTGGCCTGATCTCAGTTCACTGCAACCTCTGCCTCCTGGGTTCAAGCGATTCTCCTGCCTTAGCCTCCCTAGTAGCTTGGATTACAGATACCCACTACCACACTGGCTAATTTTTGTATTTTTAGTAGAAACAGGGTTTCATGATGTTGGCCAGGCTGCTCTTGAACTCCTGACCTCAGGTGATCCACCCACCTTGCCCAAAGTGCTGGGATTATAGATGTGAGCCACCATGCCTGGCCTGGTTTTATGCTTTTTATAGTAACATGGTTGTGATCAAACTGCACCATCAGGTTTATATCCTGTGCTTGTAGATCTTTGTAAAGACTGCTTTGGGGACCTGCATAAGGTTCTGCCATTGGGAAACACCATGAGAACTGAGTTCCTTGTGCTGGATTGTAGATTGTTGTTATTTGCTGTGGAAAATAATAGTGTGATGAACATCTGTCTGCACATTGACATGTTTCTCTATTGTGTTGTTAGGTTAGGTTCCAGATGGGGAGTTCCTGGGTTCCAGGGCTGTGGGTATTTTCAAGGCTTTTACCAGATTGTTTTACAAAAGAGGCAAATCCATGTACATCCTCCATCAGTCTGTCAGAGTGAGGGCTTAATTCTGTGTACACCCCACTCCTCTTGATCTTTGCAACGATCCCTATGAGTGCTGCAGATGAGGAGAATGAGTTTCAAACAGAAGACGGGGCTTGCCTGGCCACCGGCGCCCACAAGCAGGGTGAGGATGCAGGGCTGGGATGCCCGGCTCCTGCCGGTGCTGACTTAAAAGAATGCCAAGTCTTCTGCCTTTTCTGTCCCCAGGCTGTGGATCCCTCCTCAGTTGCCTTGGTTACCCTGGGCTCCTCAAAGGAGATGCTGTTTGAAGGAGGTCCCAGACCTTGGATCCTCGAGCCTTCCAAGTTCTTCCAGAACGTCACCTCTGAGGACACTGGCAGCATCAGCCTGGCTCTCTTTGCCCCCCATTCCTCCCGGAATTATCAGCAACACTGGATCCTTGTGACCTGCCAGGCCTTGGGTGAGCAGGTGAGTGGGCAGCCGCCCCAGACCCTCCTTGCCCTAAGGCAAGGGTGGAAAATGACTCTCTGAGTACTGTTTTATTTCATCCTTGGAATAATCCTGAGAGATAGCCACTCTGATTGTACCCATTTTACAGACAGGCAAACTGAGGCATGGTAAGGTAGAATGACTGAATGAACACCAGGCAGGTTCAGCAGTGAGGACGTCCCGCTATGCCAGCTTTCATAGAGCAGGTCAGTCCTGTGGCTTGCCACCTCCATGGGCTTCAGCATCCCCGACTAATCAAACCAGAGCTGGAGGCTTTGAGATCAGGGATCACAAGTCCAATGTCTCTAGGGTTGTAAATGAATGATGCTATAGACCCAGGTTTGACACACCTTGTTGGTTCTTGAGGATAACCTGGAAATCGCAATATTTTTTGGCATGGGTAATCTCTTAAGTTTTCTAATGCTGAAAACCAAAAGCTTAAGAGGCTGAGGGGACCAGACAACATATGTGTGACCTGAATCCCCACATGCTGGCTGGCTGGCTGAAGGTCATCTTGCTGTTTAGGCGTTCTGGGGCCTGGCACTCCTTCCCTGGGGAGGGTGGGCTGAGAGCTTGTGGGGCTCCTGGTGGGCATCTACTGCTCCATTTCCAAGGCAGGGAGCCCAAAGCAACAGGCGTGTTTGGCAGGAAGCAGGAAGAGGGGAGAGAGCCTGTTTCTTTGGGAAGCGAGGGATATTCCTGCATGTGTAACAGGACAGAGAACATCAGTTGGCAATAAAACACACATGCATGCTTCCCATGATGCCCTTATGGCATCAGCCATGCCACAGCTGCCCTGGTATGGCCAGCAAAGATGCCCAGTGATAGGTCCCACTTACATTGGAATGGTTTTGGAAAAACAATAAAGCAACAGGAATAATAACAACATCATAAAAAATAATACAATAAGAATAAAATTCCTCATGAATTAAGTCGGATACATTTTCTATCCCTGGCATGACCCCAACATCCCTGTCCCCTCCCAGGGCTGTAGGAGTTTGACCTCCCTGCCCCCCGCCCGAAGAGGGATTACCTCTAGGACCTTCCCCATCCAGTGCTCTCTGGCTCCCTCAAGTGGGGTGCTGGCTGCAGACAGAAAGCCTGTGTAGAGTCAGGGAGGACACTACCCTTGGTCCTACCTCATGGTCAGGAGGGGTTGGGGCTTGTGTCCTCCACAAAGTTCATGTCATCTGAGGAGGCTGAGGGCCCTCCCTCAAGATGGGCCCTGAGCTGTGGTGCTCCAGAAAAGAGGAGGTCAGATATGATTTCTGAGGTCCCAGCTCTCCAGGCAGACAGGTTTCCCTCTTTTCTTGAACCATGGATTTCCCTCTCTGCAGCAGCCTGTGGAGCACAGATCGTGAGGAGGCAGAGGACAGGCTTCAGCTCCTCCTGGGTGTTGTCCCACAGAGCTCCTATCTGACTTGCTTCCCTGGTCATTCTGCAGCACGCACTTCCCACGTCTATCCCTCATTCCATGGGTGTTTTCACCTCAATATGGACTCCTTGTTGAAGCATCCTTGAACTTGTGAATTTGCTAATGCGACCATGGGGTTTTCCTAGGGTCCTGGGAAACCATGAAGCCTCACCAGGTCTACCTCTTCCCTGGGATAGGAGCAGCCAGTAGTTCTGGCTGACATTTGCAGAGGGAACGTGGGCTCCCATCTGAGAGTCTTTTAAGTGTTGAGAAAGTGCTTTCTCACCCATGTGCCACTGGGCCTCTGTTAAGATCCTGTGGTGTGAGTATCATCATCACTCCCATCCTACAGAGGAGAAAACTGAGTCAGAGGGAGCTGGGATGGGTGTAGCACAGCTCAGAAAGGAGCGGGAACTCAAGCTTGGGGGTCTGATTGTCCACTGTGCCCTCCCAGGTCATCGCCCTTTCGGTGGGGAACAAGCCCAGTCTCACCAACCCCTTCCCTGCGGTGGAGCCTGCTGTGGTGAAGTTCGTCTGTGCCCCACCGTCCAGGCTCACCCTCGCGCCTGTCTACACCAGCCCTCAGCTGGACCTGTCCTGTCCGCTGCTGCAGCAGAACAAGCAAGTGGTGAGTGAGGGCTATGCTCGGGAGGCGAGGGTGCTGCCTACTTGGGCAGGAGGACGTTGGTGGCCTTGCCCATGGTCCTGAGCATTGTAATGGACATAGCTCTATGCTGCACTGCCTTTGTCTCAACAGCTGGCCCTGTGAGGGCACTGGTTTCATTTGTGTTTTATATGCAGGGGACACATGGCTTGGAGAGGTGAGGGACATACCAAAGTCACAGCAACTAGTGACAGTGCCAGGTGAAGATAGCATGGAAGTCCTCTTCCACACTCTGTCTCTGGCACTTGGTACTTTAAAAATATCTTGTCTTCTGTGCCTTGAGGGTGTTAAAGTGGGGCTTGCTGTCTATGGACAGAGTGTGTAGGGTCAGGGCGGGTGTGGAGGCTGCCGAGGAGATGTGACCAGCTGCAGCATCCCCACAATGTGGGGGACATGGGGGAGCTGTGTTTCATAAGTAAATGTTGGGAGGGGAATAAAGACCCTTGGGGGTCCATTTAACAGCAGGGCTGGATGGGGAAGCCACAGGTCTGCTCCTCTTGGACTTGAGATGCATCCATGCCTTAGTCCCTAGTGCATTCAGAGCCCAGGGTGCTGAGTATGTCCTGTCTAAGGAACGAGGGACACCCTCTGGCCAGCACCAGCTCCCAGCGCCTTCTCGGAGGAGGCGAAAAGGTGGCTCCTCACTCCTTGAGCATGTACTTACGGAGCATGTCCTCTGTGCCAGAGTCTAGGTTTTGTGCCAGAGTCTAGGTCTAGGTTTTGGATTGCAGGACAGACAAGGAACCTGCCTCCTAGAGATGACAGGGAGACTAGGAGATGCACAAATAAGATGTATTGGAGGTGGCAAGTGCTGCAAGGGAAGTGAAATCAGGCAGCAGCAGAGCACGGAGGAGGCCGCTCAGGAGGAGCAAGGCAGGGCTCTGAGGAAGGCATGTGCAAGCTCACCATGATCTAACGCTGTGGAGCTGACTACATTTATTCTTTGTGAGTCCTAGAGCAGACCCTGGCTCATAGGAGGAGCTCAGTAACTAGGATTGATGGATGAATGAACCGGCGAATGCACTGCGCATGTGCCACTCCTGTCTTCACCCATGACTCTTGCAGATTCATGGGTGGAAAAGCCACACAGGGATGCTGCTAGAGAATGGGGCAGGGAGTAGCTGAACTGGAGAGCAGGTCCTCTCTGGAAAGGCATCCTGCTCAGCTCAGGGACAGCCAATTAAACCCCTGTTTTGGCCCAGCCTTCCTTCTCATTTTCAAAGAAAAATGAATCAGAACTATGTGCATCTTCCCTTTCCTTAGCGTTGGCTGTGAGCTGAGCGAGCCATGTTGGGGCTGGGTTGTGCCTGGTCTGTCTGTCAGCCAGGACATCTGCTCTAGCCCAGGGTTGTCTCTCAACTTAAAGATGATGGCTGCAGGGCTTGCCTCTGAACTGGCTTTGTGCATAATAGATGCTACCAGAAAATAATGGACCTCAAAGCTGGAGTAGCCATGTGATCCATCAGTCCCCAGGTTCCCGAGCCACCAGCCAGCCATTCAGGCGTGACCCTGCAATTTAGGGTCTCTCATTAGGGAACTTTGAGAAAGATATATCCCTGCAATGCAGCCTGGGTGTAGGATCAAGGTAATTTTATCCTCTCCAACTTCAGAGGCCATGCAAGATGTGTTTCAGAGTAAACTATTGGTGAGGAGAGACACCAGAATGGAATGACTGATCAGAGTGACAAGGTGGAGCCAGGCTCAGCCTGACCCTGGCCCTCTGAGCAGGTCCTCCGGCTTATGGCTTGCTCACTGTGGGTGGGCACCAGTTGTATGGGACTTATTAGGGGTATGAATGGGGCCGCCCCCAGGTGAGACGCCAGGGATTGGCCACACTGGATCAGGGAGGTCCTTGGGATCTAAAATTGGACCAGCTGAGTTCCACCCCTAAACTTGTGTGACCTCAGACAAGTCATTTAACTTCCATAGACCTCAGCCTCCCTGTTTGTGACGTGGAGTTTATGTTGTTGCCTCAGATGGGCCAGTCAGCTTGCAAGTGTGCTTGGCAGGTGTCAGTGTTCGTCCCTGGAGGAACCTTGGTTTTCCAGCCAGGGTTGCATCTAGGGGAGCCATGGAGCACCTGGGATAGGCTCCTGCAGCCCCTGCCCACAATCCCAGCGCCTATATTATGAATAATGATGAGACCTTTGCATGCCTGCTGATGGTGGTGGCCTGCTCTTAGCAAGGCATGAATTAAGAATTTGTAGCCTGCTTGGATCAAGTGTTCTTTTGGGGCAAGAGAGCTAGAAGGAGTTGGGAGGGGCCCTCATGGTACAGGTGGAGTGTTTAGTGACTGTATCAGTCAGACAGGCTAGGCCTGGCCTGGCTGCCACAGCAAACAAGGCCACATCCCGTAGATTCACATGGAACAAGCTCATCTCTCACCCATGCTGCATGAGCCTTTCTGGTTGGCTGGGAGACCCTGCTTTGTTTCATTGTGATCTTCATCCCAAGACATGGACTGTGGAGCAGCCACCATGTTGATCGTGGCAGGTGCCATAGTAGAGAGAAAGGGAACGTGGAAGGTCAGGATCTTGCAGTGAAGCTTCCCACTAGTCCCATTTCACTGGCCAGAGCAAGTGCCTTGGTACTTTTAGCCAGAGGGTTAGAGAAGGGTAGTTCTTCCTGCGGGACCACCCCCCAACACCTACCCCCACCTTCCCACACCAAATAGAAAACTGGCCCTGTGTGTGAATGATGCTCATGGCCGTCCCCTTTCCTACCTGAATGTAGGAAGGCTCTCTAAAATGACCTTGCAGTCCCCATGTTTAAATCCACAGCCTCGAAGGTGGGCTCGGTTGTGCTTTGTGTGTCACAGCTGGAGAAACTGATGCTTGGGGAGTTCATAACTTGCCTGGACACTGAGAGGTGGAGCTGGGGCTCAGTCCTAGTTGTGGGGTCAGATACACTTGGCCTCTACTGTGTGGCCCTGCCCACATTGCCCCCATGCCATGTGGTCAGAGAAGGAAGGGATGGCCTGCAGGAATGAGGCTTGATTCAGCCCAGTTTCTAAGGTGAGAATCTGCTTGGGGTGTGAGAGATCAGGGCAGAGTGGTGGGAATCCAGGATTTGTACCTGCATCCTGGAGCTCCCATCCCAAATCTCCTTGGATGAGCTCTTTTTCCTATCTGGGCCTCAGTTTGTGCTGCTTTCACGTCGGGATGACCCCTCTCACTTCCCTGAGACATTTAAGGATCAGGCAAGAAATCCACTTTGAAAGGAGCTGTCCAAACCCAGTGGCTCTGGGATATCTTAGCTGTTGGAATCTGCATTCCTGTGAAACTACCAGTGGTACCATCTTAGAGGCACTGATATGTGCCTGGGTGGAGGATGGCAATCGTTTGGAAAGGTGAGGGCAGAGGAGAAGGAAAGCATCCTGCCCATGGTAGTAGGCCAGGGTAGGGGTTCCCAACTTCAGCACTCTTGACCCTTGGGGCCGGACAGTTCCTGTGGGGAGGCTGTCCCATGTATTGTAAGGTGTTTCAGCAGCATCATGGACTTCTCCCGACTAGATACCAGTGGCAACCCCCTGACCCATCTGTGGGGACAGTCAGAAATGCTTCCAGCATTGCCGAAGGCCCTGTGGTGGTTCTCATTTCCAGTTGAGAGCTGTGGTCTAGAACCAGAGGCCAGTTTGGACAGACCATGGGGGTACCTTAATGGTGGGTAGCAGTAGTGAGGATTGCTTTCTGGCTCATCCCTTTCCCTCACCAGCACCCCCAAGAGGCCATAGAGCAGCTGCTAGCCTCAGGGTGCACTGTGTGGTCAGTGTCTGCGTCCAATCCTGGATGTGGCTGAAGCATCTAACCTGTTTCCTGCAGGTCCCAGTCTCCAGCCACCGAAACCCCCTGCTTGACCTGGCTGCCTACGACCAGGAGGGCCGCCGGTTCGACAACTTCAGCTCTCTGAGCATCCAGTGGGAGTCCACCAGGCCACTGTTGGCCAGCATTGAGCCTGAACTGCCCATGCAGCTGGTGTCCCAGGATGATGAGAATGGCCAAAAGAAGCTGCACGGTGAGCTGAGTGCAAGCCCGATGGTCCAGGCAGAACAGAGACCAGCCAGGAAGCCTGCCAAGGCAGGCCAGTGCCTGTGGGAGCTTAATTATCTGCACTTAGGGCCTGTTAACTCTTACAGTCCACATAGTTTCAACACACTCGGTTGTCTGTTTTCAGATTCAAAACCGCAAATCAGAAGGAGGGAGGGGCTGCTTCAGGGGTGCTGATGGGACAGACATCCAACGGTGGTTTCCCTCTTCCTGGTCTCAGGTTTGCAGGCCATTTTGGTTCACGAGGCATCAGGAACCACAGCCATCACTGCCACCGCCACTGGCTACCAGGAGTCCCACCTCAGCACTGCCAGAACAAAGCAGCTGGTATCTCCCAGGGCCCAGTGGTGGGTGGGCCATGGGTAGCGGGGCAGGCCTCCTACTTCTTCTTAAACTCCACCAAGTGTCACAATGACTTGAGCCACTGTCTGCTCAACTGCTGCTCCCCGACCCCAGCCTCTTGGGAACCTCAGGAGAGGGACCAATAGGTACACTGGAGGTGGGAATGGGAAGGGCTTCTCAAGAATAGCCCTTCCTGGATGACAGCCACCTCATGGGAGGTATGGCCACGAGGAAACGTAGGTTTTGAATAAGGTGGAGGCAGCAGGTGCAGGCTAGAAGGGGAAGGTCGGGCTGGATTCCCAGGGTCCCTAAATGCCAGAATGAGGTGCTTCTATTGCCCTCCTGGGAGCAAGCTTTGGAAGAGTCTGGGGCCCTATGGGGCAGCACTGGGGAGGCCAGCCTAGAGGGAGGTGGTTGCTGAAGGGGCACACCTGTGCCTGTCTCTGATGGTTTAGTCCTCAATGGCACCAGGAATCTCTTGATTGGGAGTGGGGGAGCGTCATGGCTCCTGCCTGATGCCTGAACACCTCAACATGTTCCCCCAGGACTTTACACTTCCTTTCGTTGGCCTGACACCCCCACTTCACCCCCCATGGCTGAGTCACTCAGCTTCCTCCCCTTGCCATCTCTTCTCCCTGAGAGCTGCTCTCCCTTGCAGACAGCCTCCTTGTCCTTGTCACCCACACTGCACACCTTTCTATCATTAACTCACTCTTGGCTCTTGCATCCATGCATTGGAGTCACTTCTCCCTGTGGGCGATTACTGTACTCTGAGTGCCTGGCACAGGCACACCTGTGGCCCCAAGGAGGTGCTCAAACATGTGACCCTCTGGGGGCCTCAGATCTGGGTAGCTCCCTTGTGTGATATGTGGTGGGAAGCAGAGCTCAATGAGTCATGTGCCGCCCTAGGGGTTGAGGGCTGTACTTGTCGTCTTATGAGCCAGCCTTGGCCACTCTTCCAGGGGACCCTCCCCCACTGCCTGACCTGACTGGTGGCCTCCCCATCCCCCACCCCAGTGGTGGTGTCTACCACACGCTCCAAAGCTGGGCCTTTGCTGTGAGATCCTGAAAGGCAGGACGTGTGTGTGAGTTGCCCACCACTGAGGCCTGGGGGGGCTGGGATGATGTCTTCTAAGTGGGACTGCTGCCAACCCCCTCCTCAGTCTGGAGTGGAAGAGCTGGCAACTCACTGCACCTCAGGAGGCTGAAGGGAGGCCTCAAAGGGTCTGTGGCCTTTCCGCTGGGCGCAGGAGCACCAGGGGCATATCAGAGCATGTGGCTAGCAGCAAGGCCAGGCCCTGGGGCCTTTGGGCCTGCTCTTCCTGAGGGGCAGCCTGACCATGGCCTTCTGAATCTGATGGCCTTGCCCTTGCCCTTCAGCATGACCCTCTGGTGCCTGTGTCGGCCTCCATAGAGCTCATCTTGGTGGAGGATGTGAGGGTGAGCCCAGAAGAGGTGACCATCTACAACCACCCTGGTGTTCAGGTACAGCCCTTGCCCTGCCACCTTCCTGGAAGAGACCCACCGGGGACCCCTTGCCCTCCCACATATGGCCCAACTCTCCCTGCATCTGTCTCCTGCAGGCAGAGCTCCGTGTCAGAGAAGGCTCGGGTTACTTCTTCCTCAACACCAGCACTACAGATGTTGTCAAGGTGGCCTACCAGGAGGCCAGGGGTGTCGCCCTGGTAAGCTTGGGCCATTGGTCCCCACTGCTGGTTTTCATTCCTCATCTGGGTTGTTGTGATTAATCGATTTATTATTTTAAAAGCTGGCAGTTGGTTGGGTGCAATGGTTCACACTTGGAATTCCAGAACTTTGGGAGGTGGAGGCAGGAGGATCACTTGAGCCAAGGAGTTTAAGACCAGCCTGGGGGCCGGGTGCAGTGGCTCATGCCTGTAATCCCAGCACTTTGGGAGGCCGAGGCGGGTGAATCACGAGGTCAAGAGATCGAGACCATCCTGGTCAACATGGTGAAACCCTGTCTCTACTAAAAATACAAAAAATTAGCTGGGCATGGTGGTGCGTGCCTGTAATCCCAGCTACTCGGGATGCTGAGGCAGGAGAATTGCCTGAGCCCAGGAGGCGGAGGTTGCGGTGAGCTGAGATCGCGCCATTGCACTCCAGCCTGGGTAACAAGAGCGAAACTCCGTCTCAAAAACAAAACAAAAGACCAGCCTGGATACTATAGTGAAACCCCCATCTCTAAAAAAATAAATAAATAAAAATAAAAAAACTGGGGCTGTGTGCAGTGGCTCACACCTGTAATCCCAGCACTTTTGGGGGCCAAGGTGGGTGGACCATGAAGTCAGGAGTTCAAGACCAGCCTGGCCAATATGGTGAAACCCTGTCTCTACTAAAAATACAAAAATGAGTCAGGTGTGGTGGTGGGGGTCTGTAAGCCTAGCTACTCGGGAGGCTGAGGTAGGAGAATTGCTTGAACCTGGGAGGCAGAGGTTGCAGTGAGCTGGGATCCCACCATTGCACTCTAGCTGGGGCGGGGGTGGGGGCACAATGAGACTCCGACTTAAAAAACAAAAATTAGCTGAGCGAGGTAGCACAGGCCTGTGGTCCCAGCTACACAAGAACCTGAGGCAGGAGGATTGCTTGAGTCCAGGAGGTTGAGGGGTGCATTGAGCAGTGGTCATCCTCCAGCCTGGACAATAGACCTAAGTGAGAAACCTAGACCCTGTCTCTAAAAAAAAAAAAAAAAGCTGGCACTTAATCACATCAGCTATAATTAGCAAGGTCTTTGACTCTCTGACTCATTCTACAACTTTAGTCATTCTCATAAAAGCTTTGTGATTCTTATTCCATGTCCACAAACTATTAGTTACCGAATGGTTTCCTTTCAATCAGTCCTTTAATTAAAATTAAAATTAAAATATTATTCCACAAGGAGCACTATAACAGCCATAAAGAACATTGCTTTTAAAAGATGTCTCACCTTTTTCTATTTTCCTGTGTTTCTCTCTTGACCCTCTCCCTATTCTTGCAAGTATTGACTTAGCTGTGCTCATGACTGGAAGGATTCTTCTGCTTTTATTATGGTATTTTAAGTTTTTTGTTTTTCATGTTGCTAATGTAAGCAGAAGTCCATCTTCAAGTTTTTATTGATATTCTTTGTGATTATGACATTGTTACCAATCTTCCTTTACTCCCTTCATCATTTTTTGGAATGCTTTGCCTGGTGAATCTGATCTCTGGCAGCCCTTACAGACAGTTTCTGTCACTGCCTTTTTCCTGGAGTATGGGTCACATTTTCCTGTTTTGTTTTTTTTTTTTAATGTCCTATAGTTGTTGGAAACTGGACATTTTAGGTAATGTACTATAGAAACTCTGGGTACTGATCCCCATCCCCACGCTGGAGCTTGCTTGTTATTGTTATTTTGCTTGTTTACTTCTTTAGTAACTGGCTGTGTTATTTTGTTGAAGACACACACACACACACACACACACACACACACACACCCCTCCCTCTTTTCCCCAATAAGAAGTCTCTGATATTGCTCTTAGGGAACAATACCTTGGTATGTCGTTTGTCACTCTGGGGTGATTGTGGCCTTTGCAGGGCTTTTTCTGGACTGTCTTTCACTGACCACTCAACTGTCAGGCTCCACCAATGAGGCTGATTGCTCCATCATCTTCAGTAATTCCCTGGGGCACACATTCCTACACAACCCAGTCCAATCATATTTAGGATCCTTTGAAGGGACCCTTTCCCTAGATGTTTAAGGTTTGTTCTGACCCCAGGACAGCTCTTCCCAGCTGTCTCTGTTTCTGTTTCTCTCTGGCAGACTTGCCGGCTCAGTGTAGCCCACGCTGCCTGGGACTCTGTGCCTTTCAGGTGCATTTCAGCACAACCTCCACTGTTTTGGAGAGTGTGCTTAGGCTTGAACTTCTTCGAGCTGTGTTGCACGTGAAGTCAGTTCCTTCGGGAGTGACTCACACTTTCTGTTTTCTGCCTGCTGCTTTCCCAGGCAAACTCTGAGCCAGAGCTATGGAGCTGGTCACACTAGTGCATCTCTGTCTGGTGACACCTGTATGTTAGGAGCTGGGCGCTTGGTGAATGGGGCAACCGCCCCAGTGTTCCTCGGCTGGCCTCTCTCTGCATGGAACCCCACCCCATGAGCCAGGGAAGGGCTGCTGGACCCCAGTATTCTCACAGGTGCTGCACCCAAGGCAGAGCCTCCATCTTACAAATGGGGTTTGGGAGGAAGACAAGAGCCTCCACCTCTCAGCCCAGTTTCCTGGGATTCAGCGTCAGCAAGCAGTAGCTGGGGCATGATAAGAAAAGCTGACATACTGCCCCTCCTAGAGCTGGGGGTGAGGGAGCCCTGGAGTCTTGGAGGAACCAGTCTGGAGTAGAGCCACCCCTCGCTGGGGTTGAGGAGTCAGGGAGGATGGGCATCTTATTTCAGACACCGCAGGCCCTTGTCGTTCTTCCCAGGCATTAGTGGGTTTTCTTGGATAAACACTTCTTCATTTGCTGGGTGCCCTGGGAATCATCCCAGAGATTCTAAACGGCTGTGTATGTGTTTCATGGGGAGGTCTGTGGCCTCCTTACACTGTCCTGCAGAACTGGCACCTCCAGATGGTTTTTGATGTGTAGGGGTGTGGGCCTGTGAGGCAAGAGCTTCTGATTTTCAAGAGAAAATAGTTTTTGTGTGAAACATCCCTTGTTTAAAAAGTTTTTTTTTTTTTTGAGACGGAGTTTTGCTCTTACTACCCAGGCTGGAGTGCAATGGCGCGATCTCGGCTCACCGCAACCTCCGCCTCCTGGGTTCAGGCAATTCTCCTGCCTCAGCCTCCTGAGTAGCTGGGATTACAGGCACACACCACCGTGCCCAGCTAATTTTTTGTATTTTTAGTAGAGACAGGGTTTCACCATGTTGACCAGGATGGTCTCGATCTCTTGACCTCGTGATTCACCCGCCTCGGCCTCCCAAAGTGCTGGGGTTACAGGCGTGAGCCACTGCACCTGGCCGTTTAAAAAGTTTTTAAGTTCAGTTTTGTTGTTTGGTGTTTGGGATGTTTTTGAAAACCTTCCTTCAGTGTTTGACCTTGGTCTCCAGCTGTCTTGTAGAGAAGACATTTTCTCAGCCCTGTCCCTCAGGGAGGGGGAGGGAGTCCCGCTGTTCCTGTTCTTCTCAGAGGCAGACCCTTGGATGGCAGGATGCCCTCAGCACCTGGGAACAGGCATGTGGTTGGAGGACCTGGAGGAGGCGAGGAGCCTGAGACCACAGGCAGTGTCCCCTAAGCATTCTTATCCCCTCATAGAAGAAAGAATAATTCCCCAGCTCTTCTTCCAGCCATGCCAGTGAGGAGAACCTCACATCTTAACTCTGGCTGCTTGACATATGCCTTGTTTTATTTGCTTTTCGATATTAATAAAAACTTCCTCATTACCAAGAAAGTTAGGGAAAATGTGTACAGTGCCAGTGAAACCGGGACACCTACTCATTCACATTTACCTTGCACCTATCACGTTTTGCAAGCCTTGAGGGTAGACTTGTGAGTTCCTAGAGGTCAGTGATGGACTAGGCTGTCTCTAAGTAGTGAGCTCCCTGTCTTTGGAGGCATTTGAGCAGAAGCTGGGATGCTTGTCTTAAAGACTTAAGGTGGGATTCCAGCATGGGAGTCAAGTCATCCCAGGAGACCTTTAAACCCCTGTTGAATCCTAAAATGCTGCGATTCTAAGAGTGCCTCTGCAGTTCTGTTTTACAGGTGGCCACAGGAGAGCTCTGGCACTCTCTCTGGATTGTAGACTGGCCCCTGGGCTAGTTGAGTGGCACAGAGTGCCAATTGCAGGCAGGATCTGGGACGAGTCTCCCTTATGGCAAGCAGCAGCCCATACAGCAGGCCTTGTGAACTTCTCTGATCCAGAAGTTTCCTTACATGGAGGTGGCCTGCCCACTGGGGTCTTCACCTCCCTTCATTTTGGGCTTATGCCAAAGATCCTCGCAACTCCAAGTGGAAATTAGGCTCTGGTTCCTCTGGTCTCTTCAGAAGCATGGGGGAGGAATTTTCCAGGGAGCACTGATGTCAGCAGCACGTCCTGGTTGCTTCAGCAACGGTTGCAGGCGGCTGTTTCCGAGGGATGGTTGTGGTTGTGGCTTTTTCCAGCTGCTGAGCAGCAGCACAGAGACAGACAAGCCCTCAGCACTCCCCAGTTAGCTCACAGAAAGGGTTTCTTTCCTTCTTATTGATACACATTTGAAACATAAGGATGGCTTGCGGGCATGTGTGGCTTCGGAGTATCTCTGGTGGGCTCTCTGGGGCTCACACAGCCCCAAAATGCTCTATTAGGGTCTTATTTTATTTTCTGCTGGTTTGCACATAGGCATGTTTATTCTATATAAACCTAGATTTCCTTCTTCTCAACAATTCTTTACGTTTCAAACAAGTCCTCCAGGCAGAACCCATGAGATGACCAAAGCAGGGGAAGGAACCTGCTAGGCGCTTTACACGTTTCATTAACTCGTGCATTCAGTGATGCTGGAGTGCCTGTCATGTGCCAGGTGCTGTGCTGTGCTGGGTGATGCCGATTCAGGAGGGAATGAAGTGGGGTTGGAGGTGGCTCCTATGAGCTGCGGCTGTGTCTCTCCATCTCCTGGGTCCTGTGAGCCACAGTTGTGTCTCTCCATCTCCTGGGTCCTTTGAGGTGCAGCCAGTCATGGAGCCATTGTTCAGGTGAGGACACATATCTGGAATGAGGGGGGAGTGGGTGGCAGCTGTGGTGTCTGAAGTCAGCTGCATCCTCTGTTTCCCTGAGACTGATCTGTGGACACTGGTACATGTCCCCAGCCCTCGCTCTTGGGAAGGTCACAGGGCTGATTGGGTCCCTGTGTGAAGTGTCATCCAGCGCCCAGGCCAGGGCCACACTACCTGTGATTTTCGTGTGAGCTTAGGTCCTCCCTGCTGGCCTTGAGGGTGAGTAATCAGGGGCACACTCACATGGCACATTCTGGCCCATCACGTGACATTGACAAGCAGCCTCCAGGAAATGGAAGCTGATGGCTCCGGTGATGTTCAGAAATAGCTGCAGGGTCCCTTCTCCCCTGCAGTCACCACCTGTCAGGGACAAGACTAAAATGTGATCAGGGCTCCAGGAAGTGGGGGCCGAGATGATGCAGGCAGAGCCGTGGGGCCTGGCAAGCTCTGAGGTATGTGACAGTTTCAGCCCCCACGTGCGCAGAGCTGCCTCTGGCTGCACTCAGCATCTTAATGAGCAATGACGCATTTGTCATCTCTGACTTGATGACAGGACTTTCCCCTTGGCTCAGTGTTTCACGATGTTCTCAAGTGGCACCTTCAACACTTAGAAATTAGAATTCATTTTGGGCATTAACCACCACCTCCTTCTCCTTGCAAACGTTCTCCTGTGTGTCAATCAGGAAGCAGGTTTATCCAGAATGCACGGAGAAGCTGTATGGTGTGAGCTGCATGCACGGTGCAGTTAGGAGTGGGTGCAGGTCCCACTTTGCCACCAGCTAGCAGCCAAGTGCCCTCCATTAACCAGGCCTGGTGGGTGCCCCCTTACAGCATTGCTATGGAGTGCATTTAGCTATTGCACCAGCCTGAGGGGCAGGCCAGGCTTTGAGATGATGGCCAGATGTCCATCCCTTGGGAAATCGAGTGGAAGAGCAATTGATTTCCCTACTGCCATTTTATGTCTTTGTTTAAAATGTGCAAGATGGTTCTTCTGAAGAAGAAAAAGAGAAAAAGCCCTTCTCTGCATTGCCCTGTGTTTCCCTTCATGGGGCTCTGCAGTTGGAGTACCGTGGAATTTCTTCACATTGTGGAGGACCTGCCCACTCCTGACAGCAGTAACTTTTGTAGGAATTTCAGGTTGGAGCCTTAAATTGGGTCCTCAAAGAAAGTTCTCATTACTCTCTGTAATTTTTCATTGAGTTTTCTTTGAGAGAAATGTAATAACCTGGGGAGAATCAGCCCCAGCAAAACCAGAGACCTGATGGCTCCTGGACCCCTCTCCTCAGCCCATATTGACACCAGGCTCATGTGGCGATGTCTTGAGTCACAAAGCTATTGTTTTGGAGTATAAGCATGACATCCATTCTGGGATCTTTATTAATCTACTATAATTGTGTGGAATAACCCAGGCATGCTTTTGTCTGTATTAATGTACTCATTACATGGGTGGTGTATGCAGCTCAGGCCAGCTTATTGATCTTCCATGCCCCCAGCCAGCCATGGGCCTCGGCCTTTCTCAGCTTGGCCTTTGCTTTTGTCCACTCTCTGCCTCCCCAGCCCCTAGTTCCATTCTGGCTCTAGGAGACATCCAGCCCCATTCCCCTGGGAAGTGGAGAGTTGGGGGAGGACCCTAAACTGGGAGTTGAGGTATCTGGTTCTGTCCCCAGCTCTGCTTTTTCAAAACCACATCCCAGTCTCATCATCTGGGCCTCAGTTTCCTCATTTGCACATTTAAGAGGTTGGACCAGAATCAACACTTTCCAAATAAGTGAAGATTCATGAGGTTTGCGGCAGTTTTCAAATTTTCCAAGTCTTATCAAAGCTGGTTTTACTCTGTAAAGCTGAACAGGCTGGAGCACCAGATTCCATTACCTTATCTAGAATTACTTAGAGCAGCGGCCCTGGATCTTCATCCATTCAAGACGTGCATAGGGAGCTAGGCTGTACCAGATGTGGGACTGAGTCCCAAGGGTATGTGAGTGCTGGGAACAGCCTGGAGGGGAAGACCAAGTGCACTGTGGAGCCATCAACACTTATGGCACATAGTAAGTCCAGCCGCCGGGATAAGGGAGCAGAGGCACTGGAGGAGCTGACCTGGATGAGGGAAGACTGTTCTGAGGAAGGACCCTGGATCTGTGCCTGAAGGATGACTTGGAGCCAGCAGGTGGAGGCTGGGGAAAGAGTCCAGGTCTTTAAGGTGGGCTGTGAGGCCCGGAGGCAGGCAGGCAGCAGCTAGCTGGCTGTGTGAGTAGGAGAGAAGGCCCCCATGGCTGGAGCATAAGCATAAGGGTGGAGGAGTGTGATGTGCATGGAATCTGGAGCAGAGGCAGGGGCCTGGCCATGCCAGGCTTTACAGGGCATACTAAGGCTTTGGGCTCACTCTCAGAGCACTGGACAGCTGTTGAAGGGTTTTCACCTGGGTGTGATATGATCCTGTTTGGTTGTCTCCTTTGGGTCAGAAACATTATTATTATTTTTATTATATTTTTTGGTAGGTTCTTAATATTGAAACTCTAGCTTTGCAAACCCTGAAGTGCTTACTTTAAAACCCCTTGCTCCCCACCCTGTGAATATGAGACCACAAAGAGCAAGCAACAAAGCCAGTTAGAGGAGTGGGGCAACCAGGTAGACTCAGCCACCAGCTCCATGGCCTGTCCCTGGCTGCCCAGCTCCAGGACCCCCCCAGGGGGAAATACACGCCTAAGCAGCAAGACAGTCTGTGTGAAGTCCATCATCAACGGACACCGTACATGTGTGAATGCCCATCTTTTGCAGTATGAAAGAGTGATTGTGATGTACTTTCTTGGAGAGAGAGTCTTGAAGGTAGAATTCTTAAAAGCAGGTAGAGAGAAAAGGATTAAAAAGTGGGCTCTTGCCTTGAGCCCAGAAGTTGTAGTGAGCTGTGATCCCATCACTGCACTCCAGCCTTGGGGACAGAGTGAGACCTTGTCTCTAAAAATAATAAAATAAATAAATGTTAAAAGAGTCTTTGGCAGTGAAAAGGCTGGAAAACACTAGCTCTGATTTGTTCATTCATACACAATGCCTTGGCAGTCACTGCTTTACACAGAGCTGGGGCTGTGAGGAGACACGAAGATGAGCGAGATGCACGATTTGTACAGAGCTCACGCTGAGGTGGCTTTGTGGGCCACTCCCAGCCCCTACAGTTCAGTCCGTCTGTTTCGGACTTCCTGTGCAAGCTGCTAATGGGAAGCATCTGCCTCGTTTCTGCCAGCTCCTGACATGTGGTTTCACAAGGGCTGCAGCAACAAATGGCCAGCTCGGGATGTGGTGTCCTGGGACTGCATCCTCACTCTGCCCTCAAGTTGCTGCACCTCCCAAAGTTGCTTATTGCCCCCTTTGGAGCAGCTTCCATTTTCTTTTCTTTGTAAAATATGCAAAGTGGAGATCAATGCTCTGTGAGATCCAGCCCGGCATTAACGTGTTACATCCCAAGCCCATCCCCTGGCCAGCAGTGGGGCTCATGCCTAGAGGTTGGAAAGGTACTATTTGGGGGTATAATTTCCCTTGTCCACTGCTTCCCAGTGCTAGCCTGGTGGGCTCTGCCACTGGCATCCCATGAGGTAATAGGCTGGTGCTGAGGGTAAGGCACTGCTCACGGACCTGAGAAGAGGAGGGCCCTGCAGCCACATAACCCAGCACCCGCCCCTCTACCCCTGCCCCAATCTTGCAGGTGCACCCTTTGCTCCCGGGCTCATCCACCATCATGATCCATGACTTGTGCCTTGTCTTCCCGGCCCCAGCCAAGGCTGTCGTTTACGTGTCAGACATTCAGGAGCTGTACATCCGTGTGGTTGACAAGGTCAGTGGAAGCTTCATGATGGGTACCCCTCAGCTGACCTGCAGGAACTGGGAGCGAGGTGGCTATGGGAGGAATGTTCCCCATGACTGTTGCTTTTGCTCCTAGGGTCTGCATCCCTCCCCCTGTAAGCTTGCAGAACTGTCTCCCATCTCCTTTGCTCCCTGTGGAGGGTACAGAGTCCTTTCAATAAAGGACTTCATCCCAGGTGACATCCCCATTCGGCTGCTTGAAGTTGCCTCTAAATTAGCCATGACCTGAGAATTCATGTCTTCTGGCTGGTGTAGGTTATTAGCCAGTCAGGCACATGCCTTGCTGAGCATGGATTTTCTTCCCAGAATATAGGTTTTGGGTTTTTGGGTTTCCGTGGCAAGTGAGTACAACTGTGCCAAGTGCCATTGCAAAAAGACAAGGAAGAGATCTCTGTTTATCTTTCACACCAATAGGGAATTTTTATTACTCCAGATGTCTGAGGTGACTGAAGCTAGGCTTCCATAGGGTTGTGGTCAGGTTCCTGAGTGGATAGAAGGGCTGGTAATTAAAATGGGAGTGTTCATGTAGCTTAGGCACCTTAAGAAGCTAATATGCTCTACCCTGCCTCACAAACTCCTCCTATAATCTTATTTCCACTGCTGTTTGCTAATTATCTGTTTCTTTGCTGTATATTTCTGACTCCCATTTCCTAAGGTTCTTACTGTGTTAAACACTACCAGGTGTGAGCTGTTCAATTAGTGAGCCTTTATTGAGGTTCCACTGGATGCCGCTATTCTAAGCAGTGTCTTATCTTCCTAATTAGTATATTCATTATTTAAGAGTAGGGAGTGGAATTTATACCTCTAAGTATCCCCAAGTTTCCCCTCATCAATTTTCATTTGCTGACTGGCTGATAGTCCAGAGGTCAAACTGGGTGACTCTCCTGATTCCCAGGTCTGTGGGGTGAGGTTGGTGATGCTATCTCAGAAAGTCCTGGGGCACCATAGGTAGTAGGATTGGTCTTTTGGAGGCCACCCTTGAACCTCTGTCCCCATGATGCAGGTGGAGATTGGGAAATCAGTGAAGGCGTACATCCGTGTGCTGGACTTGCACAGGAAGCCTTTCCTGACCAAATACTTCCCCTTTATGGACCTGAAGCTCCGAGCAGCCTCCCCGATCATCACATTGGTGTGAGTCCTCCTGGGGGTCAGAGGAAGGCACCTCAGAGTCTGCTGACCCCAACTGCAGCTTTTCCCACGGGTTGGTGTCAGAGAATTCCCAGCCCTTCCCTCTGTTTCAGGGCCCTCGATGAAGCCCTTGACAACTATACTGCCACATTTCTTGTCCACGGTGTGGCCATTGGCCAGACCAGTTTAACCGCAAGTGTGACCGATAAAGCCGGACAGAGAATCACCTCAGCCCCACAACAGATTGAAGTAAGACGGGTTCTTCCCACACCACATGGGATCCACTCAGTGCTGGGGGTTGGGGGTGTCTGTATAATGATAGGCTGGGAATTATTGTCACAGTTCAGAAAGCTGCTATGGAGAAGCCATATAAAAGTCTGTGTCCAGCAATGTTCTCTCATCAAAAGGTAGCTGTCACTAGCTCCAGGATCTTGGAGGCAGCAAAGCAGAACCAGAGGGAGCGGGGGCTAAGTGACTTTACTTTTTTATGTGACATGAGGGGACTGTGTGGCTCAGAGAAGGGCTATGCCTCATCACATGGCAAGGGGACATATCAGGACCATTCCCAGAAAGCACTGACTGGGCGGAAGCTTAGATAGATGCTGGCTCATGTGTGGAAGAACTCCTTAACCATTGGCTCTGAGCCTTAGAACAGGGGCTCCGAGGGCAGTGGGCGCCTATCATGGGGGCTCTGCGAGCAGAGGTGTCATAAAGGGAACTCCTGAAGTAGGTGATTCCTGGATGAGGGGAGCTCTGAGGTCCCCGCACTGGCTTTGTATGTGGTATGCGGCTGTCTTGGGGTGTTAGGTTATGACAGGAGCCCCACTGCAACCACAGGCTACAGCAGTTGTGACCCAGGCATCGTTCCAAGTCTATTCACAGAAGCAACATTAAATCAGCCCTGCAAGCATCCTCCCTGTGTCTGGGCCATATGGGGGCTGGTGAGCGTCATTAATCTGTGATTCAAGCAGGTGGTGCCATCTATGTCTCTTGATGGATATATATCTTTCTTCTCCTGGTGATGAAAAATTCGTTCCTTTTTTTTTTTCTTTTCTTTTTTTTTTTTTTTTTTGGAGACAGTTTCACTCTTGTTGCCCAGGTTGGAGTACAGTGATGCAATCTTGGCTCACTGCAACCTCTGCCTCCTGGGTTCAAGAGATTCCCCTGCCTTAGCCTCCCAAGTGGCTGAGATTACAGGCACCTGCCACCATGCCCAGCTAATTTTTTTGTATTTTTAGTAAAGATGGGATTTCACTGTGTTTCTGTCCATCAGTAGCACAGCTGCAGAGACTGATACTCCCAACAAGTAGCACCCTGGCCAACCCTGCACTCACTCACCTACTCCTGCCAGGTGTGCACTTGTAGAGGTTGCAGGAGGAGCAGGTGGGGGCTTCGCCTGCTCCACAGAGTGGCACTGGCGTCTCTGGTCTCCTCCCATGCTAATCCGGAGGGCATGCTAGGATGCAGACAGTGGGGCCACCTCTGGCTCCGTAGGCCAGGTGGCTGGAGGGTATGCATTGCTAATGTCTCCCCGGGTGCTGCTGACATTGCTGGTCAGTGACCACACACTGAGAACCCCCACTCTGAGGGGATGGTTCAGCTGCCTTCCCTCCAAGCTTGTGGGGTTTAGCTTCTAGGGAAAGTGAAGCACAGTCACAAACAGCAAAACAAACCCCAGAGAACCAGGGAGCCTTGACCAGTGGCTGGGAGACAGCCCCCAGCATTGGCCCAGAACCCTGGGCCCTACTGGTCACTGCTCACAGAGGAGTGGATGTCCATGCCCCAGGTTTTTCTCTCATGAAACATGTAGCATGTGAGTTATGCTTGGCGCTGGGAGCTTGGGGCACAGCAGTCCTTTCTCTCCTGTCTCCCCACAGGTCTTTCCCCCGTTCAGGCTGATGCCCAGGAAGGTGACACTGCTTATCGGGGCTACAATGCAGGTAAGATCCAAGAGGCCATGTCCTGCTCCAGCCCCAGTGCAGGCCACCACCTGGTTCCAGGCACACCGCCTCTGGCCCTGCACGCAGTGACTGGGAGAAGGCAGAAGCTGCCTGCACTGGGGCCCTGGCTCTCCTAGTGGGAGATGTGGGCTGCCTGGCATGACGGGCACTGATGTGTCTCTGTTCGCTTCCTGCCTAGGTCACTTCCGAGGGAGGCCCCCAGCCTCAGTCCAACATCCTTTTCTCCATCAGCAATGAGAGCGTTGCGCTGGTGAGTGCTGCCGGGCTGGTACGAGGCCTCGCTGTCGGGAATGGCACTGTATCAGGGCTCGTGCAGGCAGTGGATGCAGAGACTGGCAAGGTGGTCATCATCTCTCAGGTAACAGAAGTGCTATTGGAGACTGGCACTATCCAAACCCCCTGGGACGGCCAGCTCTGGTGATGGGCCCACTGCTTCCCCAGACAGCTATGCCTGGGACAGAAGCCTCTTTACTGTGTTTGGATTCTACCTCTGAGGACCACCCCTCTCTAAGGGTGCTGCTTCTGCCTCCTGGGTGTGCAGTCCCTGCCAAGGACCCTGATGCAGGACAGCCCTGCTGATATGGGAGCACCCAGACCCCCAGAGGTTGCTGTTCTCCAGGCTGAGTCTTCTAGCCCTTCCCACTGCTCCTTTCGGTACAGGGTTTTCAGCAACCTGAGTTCAGAGCCTATAAACACAGCACCCTGGGAGCTGGGGAGTGTACCGCCCTAGAGGGGATTCAGGGAAGTCCTCATTCTCAGAGACTGACTTTGATCCATCATTGAATTCACTGATTTACTCCTTTTCCCAGTGTGTCAATTCTGAAGACAAAGAGAAAGCTTAGGGATGTTAAAATTTATCCTGGGATGGGGCAGGGTTCAGATAGGCTTCCTGGAGCATCACATTCAGGACCACAGGAGGCCTTCTGTTTTTTTTCTCTACAAAGGATTGTGGCCTCAGGAACTGGCTGATATATCTCCTCCCGAGGGTGTAGGTGAAGGACAGCTGGCTAGAAATTCAACCAGAGGGGCCCTGCTTATTCCTTGTCTTTGTGGTCTAACCTTGCTGGGTGGGCACCCTTCCCTCTAGGTTCCCCCTCTGGCAGGTTGAGGAGGTACTGGGGAAAGGCCCTGGTGGTCCCTGGCAGGTAGAGGGGCTGCACCACCAGCCCTATCTGAAAGGCATCTTCTTTAGCCCAGGCAGGCTGGGGTGTCATCTAGGGCCCCCTTGTCCATGTCCGGAATGTGACTCTGGTCAGTTGCTTCCAGTTCCATCTGTCCAATCCAGGTCACACAACAAGCACCCCAAGGCCACAGGGTAGGCCAGGACTAACAGGAGGAGATGGAACAGAAGAATGAGTGAAAGGAGGGGAATGAGTGCTTATCAAGAACCTACTATGTGCCAGGCATTAGCCCAAGTCACGAAGCTCACAAGGTGGGCTCAGCATGAGCACATGTCAAAGGGCCTAAGGGTTTTAATAGCCTCAGTTCAGCGTGACTCAGCAGCACTAGGAAGAAGCCAGGAAAGTTAGTCTTTGGCCAGATTAATAGGAGTGTGGAGTTCAGAATGAAGGATGTTGTAAGGTCTGATCAGACTCTACAGGGCTCCTGCATTTGTCCCTGTACCCAGCTCTAGAGATAGGCAAGCTGGATTTGGGGTTGGGAGGGTCTGGAGACCTGTTGCTTGGGGGCCACCAGGCCTAAGGAAGAGCAGGCACCAGTCCCTGGCCCCAGGTCTGCAGTGCTCACCTGAAACAGCTGGATCAGATGGGGCAGCAGCCTCAGGGGACCGGGCTAGGACTGGCTGGCCCATGTGGGGTGAGACGGCCACAAAGCCAGGCCTCCCTGGGCAGAGGAGCATGGTGCTAGGCATCCCGAGGGGCCTCCTTACCACGGACTCTGAGCCACAGCCTCGTTCCCTAGAGGATTCCCTTCCTGAAACCTCTGGGGCTAGCACAGCATCCCCGTGCCCTGTACCTGAGCACCATGCTCTTTCCCCAGGACCTCGTGCAGGTGGAGGTGCTGCTGCTACAGGCAGTGAGGATCCGCGCCCCCATCACGCGGATGAGGACGGGCACTCAGGTTAGGGGGACCTTCTGGGGTCTGAATCCTGGTTCCCAAAGAGCCATTGCCGGAATAGAGCGCTTCTCCACCTCCTCCATTTGCTTGGCCTGGGTATCTAGGGGTGCTATGCCTGTTTCCCACCTGTCCCCGTCCAGGGAGACACCCTTTGTTGCTCTATGGCAGTCACTGATGAAGGCCTGCTTCCTGCTAGCCTGTCACCTTCCCACATCTCCAATAGCACCAGGCTCCTAAGAGGAGCACAGTGACTATGGCACTTAGTCCACTCTGTGCTGTCTCGGACATTAATCCGTTTGGTGTTCATAGCAGCCCTGGGAGGCTGGTGTCAGAACCATCCTCTTGACATGTCACAGATGAACAATTGAACACACAGCAAGCTTAAGACCTGTGCCCAGGGCCACACAGCTAGGAAGTAGTGGCACTGGGAGTGGACTGGGCAGCCTGGCACAGTACCTGCTGTGGCCTTTTGCTGTCTTGGTTCCCCCTGTGCCCTCAGGCCAACTCAGCAAATAAGAGACTGAAGGAGCTAGGCACTCCACCCATGTGTGCCTTGTGAGCAGGGACCCCAGCTTGATTAGGAGAGAGGGTCCTGGAGGAACCAGCAGTGTGAGGCAGTATGAGCTGTACTGCTGGGGAACCCCCAGCCTCCTAGAGCTCCAGGGACTCCTTCCAGAAATGAGCCTCGGCCATGCGGAGGCGCAGCCCGCTGCAGGGGAGGGCCACATGGGGAAAACAGTCCCGCCTCTGCTTTGCTCATTTGGTATATCATCCAAACTCCCGAACCTGTGCCGTACCAGTCTCTGGTTGGGGAAGAATTGGGTACATCTCCCACTGGTTGAAGGAGGCAGCAGAGCTTCTGGGGACATTCCCAGTCCTGGGACCCACTAGTCACCAGGCCTGACTTCTCCTCCTAGATGCCTGTCTATGTCACCGGCATCACCAACCACCAGAACCCTTTCTCCTTTGGCAATGCCGTGCCAGGCCTGACCTTCCACTGGTCTGTCACCAAGAGGGATGTCCTGGACCTCCGAGGGCGGCACCATGAGGTAGGTAACCACCTGCCCAGAGCCCACCTCCCACCCCATCCCAGACCAGCACCCCGAGGGGCAGGGAGGGTTCCCACCATATTGTCTCAGAGTAAGTCCCCGCCCTCACACCCATAGAGGCCCTCCCACTTTCTGCCCTCTCCCGAGGCTCATCGGGATTCCCTTGTCCCAAGCGCTAACCACGCAGATGGGGTGAGTAGGTAGCTCTCCTAACAGAAGCGGCAGTGTAGGGAAGTGACACAAGTCCTGGGAGATCAGCGTCTGCAGCTTCTGACCATTTTCTGAGATTATGCCTTGCAGCCCTCGGTTTCTCCTGGTTTATCCCAAACTCCCCTTCCCTTAGCCCAGCGAGGGGCCTTGGCTTCTCCTGAGATGTCAGAGCTGGAAGGTGCCATGGAGAACCTACTAAGTCCTTTTTTGTGTTAACTGAGGCCAGAAACAGGAAGGGACTTGTGCAGGGTTGCCCAGCAAGCCAGTGGGGAAATGGGACTGGGCACTCCACTCCAGGCTCAAAGCCAGGTGGGCCTTGGGCACACAGGACCCAAGCAGAGGGTGGCTTGAAAGGTTACTTCCAGTCTGATCCAGGGACAGTGGGGATGGAGGCATGAAAAGAGGGTACCCAAAGCTCATCTAGTATAGGATGAATGCCTCCCCACCCTATCCAGTGGGAACAAGGTCCTGTCCCTGGTGGCTGGGGGGCTCCCCTAGATTGCACCCACGAAACACAGGTAATGAGACTTATTAACAGATATCCCAAAATGGAGCAGTCTGCAGGGACATGCTGCAAAACCCAGCATAACTCTAGGTGATCTACACGGACTGAAGGCTGAGGGACATCCTGTCATGAAGATCCCTGGCTTATATGGGTGGCTGGCCTAGTGTTTTTCAGACACATCTGTGCACATTATGCGATGCAGGCAGGGCAGAGCCCATGTGCCCATGCTGGTGAAGCCAGGTCTGCACAGCTCTGGGGTCAGCAAACCCAACCCAGGCATGAAGGCAGGGCCTTTGAGAACAGGGGGGTCTGGGGCTGCTGTCCAGCTCTACCTTTTTGAGGACACAGGGACCCGGGCCTCACCCCTGAAAACGTGTTTGATGTCTTCCCAGGCGTTGATCCGACTCCCATCACAGTACAACTTTGCCATGAACGTGCTTGGCCGGGTAAAAGGCCGGACCGGGCTGAGGGTAGTGGTCAAGGCTGTGGACCCCACCTCAGGGCAGCTGTATGGCCTGGCCAGAGAACTCTCAGATGAGATCCAAGTCCAGGTAGGAGGCAGGTGGACAGGCAACAGGGCAGGGGGAGAGGAAGTGGGCAGGGGCTGAGGGAGGCCTGAGAAGCTCTCAGTCTGTGGGGGTGACAGTGGCCCATCGCAGTGGGGTGATGGTCCGGGTGTGACTGGTGCTGTGGGAGCCCAGAGCTGGGTCCAAGTGAAGGCTTCACAGAGGAATGATGTTTCAGGATTGGAGAGGCTGGCAAAGGCCTGGAGGTGGGAACTCACTTGATATGTGACAAAAAGAGCAAAGAATTCTGAGCTTGGGCTCACTGTGTCTGAGTGGCAATTAATTTAATTATCTGTATTTATTTAACATGCATAGAGCACCCAACAGGCTGGGTGCTCTTGCATGCTTTTCAGTATTGCCACCTCTGGCCCTCAGTTGAAGCCTGTGGGGTAGGGGCTGCCACCTGCTGATGATACCCTTGAGGCAGGGAGGGTCAAGGTCATGGTGAGTGAGGGATGGTCTCAAGAGGCCTGGGGAAACAGGCCTGTCTGCATTTGGAAAACAGCCTCAGAGAGGGAGGGGCCTTATTCAGAGCCATGGGGTCAGGACTGAGTCCAGTGGCTCTTCTGCCTGGGGTATAGCCCTGGGTCTGTGTCCAGCTGTCCCTGCTACTTACAGGATGGGCCCTGGGTGAGTTCCTGCCCCTCTGGGCCCCTCTGCAAGGTGGGAACTTAGCAAGTTGGCTCTGAAGAGCATTTTTGTCTTCAAGTGCTTCTTTCTGCTCCTTTGGACTTCAGTTGCCCCCTGGGTCCTCCTAAGCTGTAAAGTAAAACAAAAAATATCCCCCACATGTCCTGAGATAAGAAACTATCTTTGCCTCAAGAAGAAATAAACTATGTCTAACTCAAGAACGTGCCTGATCGGGGAAAAGAAGCAAATTTTTCAAGAAAGAAATACCCACAAAAAACAAAAACCCACCTATTTGCCAACCCCTCACCCCTGCCTGCACACACACATTATACATGCACACACATACATGAAGACATGCATACATATACATATATACAGACACACAGATACACACAACATCCCTACACTCACCAAATACATGTTTTTCTTTGTTAAAAGGAAGTAAGTTCTGGAGCCTATCATGGAATTAAAGTCAGGGCTTTGCAGCTTCTAAATTCTGTGACCTCATTTGGGTCACTTGACAGCTCTGTGCCTCTGTTTTCCTATCTGACAGCAAGTGGAGTTTGAGTAAATCAGAAACTAGGAAATCTGGATCCAGCCTACACATGTGTTTTATTTGGCTCATTCAGGCCTTTGAGACAGCTTTTACTTGCTGTCATGTAAAGATAGGAAGATTCTACGTAAAAATATGAGATGTGGCATGTCCTAAAGATACGGTGTCTGCCCCAGCAAAATCAGCAGACGATGAGAAGCAACCTCGACTATGTTATAGATACGCTCTCCAGTTTGCCGCAGGCCCCACCACTCCCTGTTGTTTCTCACCATTCGGGAAGTGCTGTCCCACCCAGCACCTCATATGGACTCCTCAACTCTCAAGACAGGCATGGAGAGGGTGTTAGTTGTGACCATGTTACACACAAGGAAATCTAGGCTTATGTGGACAGAGCACAGAGGAGCTAGGAGGAACGGAATCAGGGCCAGTTTCATTTGGAGACTCACCCATCAGATCCAATGATACCGGCCATAGGCCCAGGGCTCAGGCCTGAGGCGCAACTAGCTGATTTGCTCAGAGGCCAGTGGGGAGCTTGGTACAGCTTCACCGGCCAGTGAGTGACTGCCCCTGGGTCAGGCTGGGAGGCCTCGGAGGCAACAGCCCCAAGGGGCCTTAGAGAGGGGACTTATACAGGTGGTGGACACATCTGAAGTCTTGCAGAGAAGAGGTCTGGAGTTCCCAGGTAGGTGTTGAGGCCATGGTCTTGGGAAGCCACCAGGGCCTCAGAACGCCTGGGCTTCCCAGGATCAGATCTGAGCCGACATCAAGAGGTTGATCATCTGCTAGACTGAGCTCCTCGCCAGGCCCCTACATGTGTCTGTGTGGATCCTGCAAGAACGTAGCCAGAGGGGCCTGAGAGGTGGAACAGTGGGTGTTCTGAGTCGGTGGCAGTGAGGAACAAGATGTCTCTGTGAGAGGAAGGAGCAGTTAGGTGGCTCCTTGCCCAGGCTCAGTCCTGGCAGAGTTATCCTGAGCAAGACCCCAGCACTGGAGTTGTGCATGCTACCCCTCTGAGCTCACGTCCTGGCAGGTAAAGTTCTCTCTCACTGGACACAGAGGGAGAGGCCTGTGTTTCCAGGCTCCTTGAAGGAGCTTCCATTAGGTTGCATGAATGTGAGCCTGCCTGCCTTTGGCCTCTTTTTTTTTTTTTTTTTTTTGATGAGATAGGGTCTCGCTCTGTCACTCAGGCTGGAGTGCAAGCCTTAGCCTCCCAAGTAGCTAGGACTACAGTTGCATGCTACCATCCCTGGCTGACTCTTAAAATTATTTTGTAGAGATTGGGGATTTGCTGTGTAGCCTAGGCTGAGCTGCTGCACCCGGCTACACCTTTGGCCTCTTAAAGGTCAGCCCTTCCCATCATGTCACCAGTGCCCTGACAGGCAAGAAAGCTGCTTTTCTCATCTCTGCTCCCCTCCTCAGCTCTTGCTGATAGGATAGAAGCAGACACCTGGCCTGGAGGTGACTCCAGTGCCCCATCAGAAGTGAAACTTGCCCTCTCTTGCAGGTGTTTGAGAAGCTGCAGCTGCTCAACCCTGAAATAGAAGCAGAACAAATATTAATGTCGCCCAACTCATATATAAAGCTGCAGACAAACAGGTACGTGACTCAGCTCTTGTTTCCAGCAAAGCTATGAAGCTGTGCTTGCATCTGACAGCCTATGTGTCAGCACTGTCAGGAGCCATGGGTGTTTTCAGGGAGGTTTTCTCGTGCTGTGCTTTGAATGGGTGAGGCCTCTGCCTGTTCCTTCTCTTCTCTGTGGAGCTCCTCTGCTTCTTAAAATCACTTCTCATCATAAGACTCCTTTTCCTCCCTGTAGCCTAGAAACATTTTCATGCTAGCTACTAAAATTCAATTTTTAAAAGGGAAAAAAGCACCAGCTTAGAAGTGTTGTGTTTCAGATGCCTCTGTGTTTTCAAGACTTGCCACTCAGGGTGTAGCCCATGAGCCAGAAGCATCAGCATCACTGGAAGGAGGAGATACAGCTCTCAGGCTCCACCCCAGACCTGCCCAGGGAGAGAGAAGCTGCACTCTAAGGAGATCCCCAGATGACGGAGCCACATTAGTAACACTTGGGAAGAGCTGTTTAAAGCCTGTCTGCAAACATAATTTCTACCTTTGATTCCAAGGGGATGCCTTTTTTTTTTTTCAATCACAGTCTTGCTCTGTTGCCCAGGCTGGAGTGCAGTGGCATGATCTCGGCTCACTGCAACCTCCACCTCCTGGGTTCAAGCAATTCTCCTGCCTCAGCCTCCCAAGTAGCTGGGACTATAAGCACCTGCCACCATGCCCAGCTAATTTTCGTATTTTTTTTTAGTAGAGATGGGGTTCACTATGTTGGCCAGGCTGGTCTCAAACTCCTGACCTCTCGATCCACCCTCCTTAGCCTCCCAAAGTGCTGGGATTACAGGCGTGAGCCACTGTGCCTGGCCCCAGGGATGCCTTTCTTAACAGTGGCTTGCATTTGAACAGCAGTTGCCAAGCTGGAGACTCCATGGGCCACAGGACACTTATGTGTTCCATGAAACACATTCATGTTTTCATTCAGCCAAAAGTAACAAAGTGCCAGACTCCATGCTGGGCTCCAGGAACACAGATATGGGTGACATAGGGTGCTCCGGCGGAGGGTAGCAGGAGAAGGCTATTACAGAGCAAGGTGTAATATTCAAGCCAGAGGCCAAAGAAGGGTGCTTGCCATGGGGATTTAGGGGAGGCATGTCCCAGATAGAGATGCTTGGGCTGGAGGACTTGAAGGATGAATAAGAGTTCCCCAGGTTAAGAGGAAGGGGTTGGAGGGGGAAGAATGTTTAGGCAAAGGCAATAACATTTGCTCCTAGTCATCTGTAGGGCTGGGGAAGAGAGAGATGATGGGGACTAGTGCTGGGAGCTGGAGGCCTTTCCTTCCTGTGTTTCTTTATGATATTAATGAATATGTAAAAGAGTATGAGATACGGTGTAATGCACTTCCTACCTAGTGCATAGTATCAGTAGTGTGCTCACCGTTTTCTTAGTAGGTAGCCTATTTTTATCCTGTTAACCGTCCTTAGAAATAGGAGAGGACATGATCATTGTGCACCTTTCACCATGGAGGAAGTCAAGACCGAGAGAAGAAGGGACATAATGTGCACACAGCTGCTGGCAGGACATGTCAGGACTGGCTCTGGATTCTATCATGCTGAAAGCCCCATCCTCTCCACTATGCCAGGCTGCCTTGCTTCAGTAAATTGAGAACAGCTTGCTGCAGAAATCATCTTTTACAGTAACTATGCCATAGAGCTGATGAAAGAAACTGCCCTTACAGTCTCTCCCTCCCTGCTGGCCGACCCACGGCAGGTGCTGCTCTGGGCAGAGTGAGAAGCCACACTTTGCTCAGAACCATTGGATTTCTGAATTAGTTTTCTGTGGGTGACTGATGAAGCAGCAGACAACTGACAGCACGTGGTCCTAAGGGCCACGGGGCCAAGATTGGGCCTTTTTTCTCTCCCGGGAGCAGGGGGAGCTGCAGACTCCTAGATCTCCTGGCATTGTATCCGGGCCCTCGCTAAAACCTACTCCTACTGCTGCCATCTGCAAAAACAGTTCTGTTTTGTTTTCCAAAGGGATGGTGCAGCCTCGCTGAGCTACCGCGTCCTGGATGGACCCGAAAAGGTTCCAGTCGTGCACGTTGATGAGAAGGGCTTTCTAGCATCTGGGTCTATGATCGGGACATCCACCATCGAAGTGATTGCACAAGAGCCCTTTGGGGCCAACCAAACTGTCATTGTCGCTGTAAAGGTAGGGTTGCATTCTCTTCCTTTTTGTAGTAGTAAAAGCAATAGCACTGAGGTAATATGCCTCTCAGGTGTAAAAGTGAATATATTCACCTTCCAGCAGAGAAACTGTAGATAGGAATTTAAGAATAACTGGGGGGTGGCAGAGTGCAGTGGCTCACACCTGTAATAAACTTTGGGAAGCAGAGGTGGGTGGATCACCTGAGGTCAGGAGTTTAAGACCAACCTGGCCAGCATGGTGAAACCCTGTCTCAACTTAAAATACAAAAAAATTAGGTAGGTGTGGTGGCAGGCGCTTGTAATCCCAGCTACTTCAGGAGGCTAAGGCAGGAGAATTGCTTGAACCCAGGAGGTGGAGGGAGGTTGCAGTGAGCTGAGATCTCACTATTGCACTTCGGCCTGAGCAACAAGAGTGAACCTCTGGAAGAAAAAAAAAAGAATAACTCAGGGACAAAGGTCCTAGGTAGATTAAAAAGCTAAAGCATCTGGTCATCAGAGCTGAAAATCCTTGGGAGATCATTGATTCCAAGTACATCATTTAACAGATGAGGCCCAGTGAAGGTCCATGATTTACCTAAGGTTACAGAGCTGGGACTGGCACCACAGCTTCCTGACTAGAGTGTTGGCACTCCACCCACCATGCCTGGGCACTGACGTTATCACCACCCATGGTGGAACTCCTGTTCTGGGCCAGCCCAGTGCCTAGAACATGGTCTGTTCTTAAAGCACTGAATGATGTGCTCACTACCTGCCATGCAAGTCCTGACAACCAGCACATGACATCCACTGTGATTTTGAGAATCAAGTGGCCAATTTTCCAGACAAGGAGACTAAGGTTGAGTAGGAGTGACTTGCTCAAGGTTGCCTGGGGATTGAGAGCTGGAGTCTGTCTAGTTTGGGTGACATCATAGCACTGCCTTCTGCCATTCTGTGTTCTTTAGGGATGGGACCTTCTCTGTCAGCCTCCCTGGGTCAGGTCCTGGGGTTTTGCTGAATGGAATTTTCTTTCCATGTCTCATCATCAACACTTGGATGACAGAAGACATACACTCACTTAAATCTTTAGACTACACCTGGGTCACAGACTTCTTTCATTAATGCACACCTTTTTGTTTCAAAGTGGGTGCCTGACAGCAGACCCCCCGCTCTAGTTTTTGGTGAGTGAAAGTGACTGACTGCTCATCCTGTTTCAACAAATATGTATTGACCACTAGCTGTATACTAGACACTGCACTGCTAAACTTTGTCAAAGAAATTCAGACCTTTGGAGGATTAGCTTTTGGACCTGGATAGATTTTCAACTGGAATCAGAGAAACAGGCTGCTGTTTATGGAGCTTGGGTCCTTGGGCTCCAGAAATCCCCATTTCCCTCCTTCCCCTGGTGGCCTGCAGGCATGCTGTGGCTTGCTTAGCGCTGCCCCAGCGATCCAGTAGGATGTCGTTTATTTAAATCCCTCGAGAGCCAGATTATCTGAAGAAACTGGATATTTGCAGCCCAGGGGGCCCTTTTGCAATATGAAAAACGGTCTCATTTTTCAAAATCATGGACTGGGACACTCCTGGGTGGGCTTTCTCGTAGTGATGCCATTCTGCTGTGTTGGGAGGTAAGAACCTTGTCATTAGGTTAGGACGCTCTAGAGAGTGTGGCCTTTATTCTTTTGGGACCCCTAAGTCCAGCCCCATATTGTTCCTGAGGAGCATCCTTCTCGGGGCAGGTGTCCCCTCCTTGGGAGGTGGGTTTTCCTGGAGGCCAGTCCCTGGCACTGAATCCTCATCATACCTGTGTGTTGTCCTCCAGGTGTCTCCTGTTTCCTACCTGAGGGTTTCTATGAGCCCTGTCCTGCACACCCAGAACAAGGAGGCCCTGGTGGCCGTGCCTTTAGGAATGACCGTGACCTTCACCGTCCACTTCCATGACAACTCTGGAGATGTCTTCCATGCTCACAATTCGGTCCTCAACTTTGCCACTAACAGGTGGGATGTGGGTGAGGGTCATTTCTCCTGTGAAGTCCTATCTGGTACCTGGTAGAGACACTGGGCAACACAGAAAGGGTGGACTGCTGTTAAAGGAAGATGTTTATTACTTTGGTTTCCAAGAAATGTGGGCATGCTGCACCATGTTGGGCCACGAGGAAGCACCACCGCCCTTGGGGAATACAGACCAGCTCAGAGGAAGACAGACAGGCATCAGTCCCCAAAGGAGGGAGCAGGGCATGGGGCAGCTTCAGGGAGTGCTCCCTGAGGCACGAGAGATTGGCCCTTCAGCCTTGGCTGCCCACAGGTCCTGCCACAGATATGTTTCCGTCTTGCTGAATGCATTCAAAGACAGGTGTTGGGGGTTTAGAATCGGGCCTGGTTCTAGCCCCAGCTCTGCCCTTTGTGGGGCCTGTGAGAAGATCACCATCCAAAAATCTGTTCCCACACCTATCCCGTTGGGCAATGTGGCCTAGGTTCCAGGGCTTTCCTTCAGCTGAGGGAGTGGTCATGAGGGCCTCTGGCAAACCATGGCGCTCTGTGTGTGTGCACAGAATTGCCGTCTGTCAGTCTGGGGCATGTTCTGGAGGAAAGGAGCCCAGTTCTCCCAGTCTCTTGGCTGCACTGCAGGTTATTCTGGCCTTGTGGCAGGAGCACCTGATAGAGACCCAGTCAGTGCTCAGGGTCAGAGGTGTGATGGAGGCAAGGATGCAGCCACGATCCCTAACCCAACTCTCACCCCACCCAGCCCACACTTCTGCACCAAAGCTGCCATTGCCGACACTGACTGAGCACCTGCCCTGTGGCAGCTGCCTCCCCTTCGCTGACCTCATGTAATACACCAGGCCTCTGTCATGGGCATGTGATGATCCCGTTTTGCAGAGGAGGAAAGGAGCAGAAACCACATTCTGCAGTCAGGTTGCATAGTAAAGGCAGCCTGTTCCTTTCTGGTGTGTCCAGTGCTCTGGTGGGAAGAACATGAGGAAGCACTCTGGATCTCTTTCCCCTTGGGGCCTCAGTTTCCTTTCTGGAATACAGGGATGGTGCTACCATCACTGCCTGGCTGCAGGCTGTGTGTGCTTTCTGGGGTGACAAGTGAGGAGGTCAAGCCTGTGCTGCCTGCCTGCAGTGGTCCCTCATCTGGGGCTGCTACTTGGTAACCTTGAGTTGGGGCCCCATATGGGACTTCAGTCAGTTGAATGCTTTGCTCAGCAGAGGATCTGGACTGCATTTTTCCCTCTGGGAGTTGGAGGCTTCTTTCCTGAGACTGAGAGCCCTCCTTTCTCTCCTGTACCTAGAGATGACTTTGTGCAGCTTGGGAAGGGCCCCACCAACAACACCTGTGTTGTCCGCACGGTCAGTGTGGGCCTAACACTGCTCCGTGTGTGGGACGTAGAGCACCCGGGCCTCTTGGACTTCGTACCCCTGCCTGTCCTACAGGCCATCTCCCCACAGCTATCCGGGTCTGTGGTGGTGGGGGATGTGCTCTGTCTGGCCACTGTTCTCACCAGCCTAGAAGGTAAGACAGATCCTGATCAAGGGAGCGTTTGGAGTCACCGACACTTGGAAAGCTGGGCGAGGGCTCCCTGAGTGGGGGCCCGGCGCCAGTCATGGGTGCCTGTGAGCAGACCTGCAGGATACTCAGGAGCAGTGCTTCAAAACAGGTACAGGGTGGATCTGGAGACCAGATCCACCCTGAACCTGTTTTCTGCAAGTAAATTTTTGTTGGCACTCTGCTGCACCATTACATTTATGTATGGTTAGTGCCTCCCACTGCCAGATTGTGTGGTCAGAGCAGGGATTGTATGGGCTGCGTAGCCCAAATGCTTATGTCCACCCTTCACAGAAAGCGTTTGCGAGCCCTTTTCTGGAACAGCGCTGCTCAGGGGATCCCCTGCTCCTGTGGGGCATCCTGCCTTTGCATAGTCTCATGCAGTTCCTCTAGCCAGGAGATAAACACAGATCTCCACTGCCGCTGAGGAACTGAATTCACCATTTTAGTGAATTCTGTGGGAAGTGGCTGCCATAGTGGACAGCACAGGCTGGGAGACTTAAGCAAAGAAGGACCCTGGGTTAAATCAATGGCTTCCAAATTTCAGCCATGCCCAGGCAACCTGTATACATCCATGGAACATGTGTACAGTTTACTTAGTTTTTATTTTCAAATTGTTTCCACTTTTTTTTTTTGCCTTGCTAAATTTATTTTAAAAGGGGATGAAATACTACCTTTAAGGAAAAACAGATATAATTTGCTATATATAGAATGTGATTGAGTCATTTAATTGTATTTACTGTATAGTGTGATTGGCTTTTAACTCAGAAGTACTGTGTGGTGAAAGCTCTGAGCCTCACACCTGTTGTCTGTTTGCTAAAAAGGAATTGATAAGGTGGCAGGGGATGGGGAGAGGCTGTGCTTTGGTGGAGGAGCTATAGAAGGCAGGGCCTGGCGGCAGCACCCAGACCATTCCCTGGCAGGGGTCAGGTAAATCTTCGTGCCAGGATGGTCAGGAGATTCCAGGCAGGGAGGTGTGGGTCAGGAAGAGCAGGTGCTGGGGGGCACAGCCCTGTAGAAGGTGGGCGCAGCAAGGTAGGAGAGCTGACGGCCCATGTGGCCAGAGCCAGGAGCATGACCAGCACTGGGGCAGGCAGCGTGGCTGTCTCCTGAGGCTGCTGAGTGAGCTGCCACAGGAGTAGTGGCAGCCAGTGAGGAGGCTGGCCATCATCCAGGTGAGCCAGGCTTTGGCTAGAGTGTCCAGCCATGAGAAGGGGGCTGACACCCACAATTCCTCTCTAGGCCTCCCGGGAACCTGGAGCTCCTCAGCCAACAGCATTCTCCACATCGACCCCAAGGCAGGTGTGGCCGTGGCCCGGACTGTGGGATCCGTGACAGTTTACTACGAGGTCGCTGGGCACCTGAGGACCTACAAGGAGGTAGGCTCCAGGCAGTTGGAGGCACACGTGGCTCAGTGGCCTGTGAGGCAGGCCTGGCCTTCTCGGAGGATTATGAAGACTTTTCCTTTTAGGGAAAAGCTGTCTGAGGGGTTGGGGTCTGGGAATAATGAGTCTGAGACTGGCCACTCGCTGACTCTGGCATGGGGACAAGCTTCCTTTTCTTTCCAGGCCTCAGTCTCACCATGTTCAAGATGGTATGATGAGGAGAGGCAGCCCCGTGGGGTGGACTCCAGCTCCCATGGGCTTGGGTCTGGCAATCCCGGAGTGGGCACTTCCCCGGTGCTTCCCTGTCACCTGCAAGGTTAAGGCTCCCCGTACAAGTCACCTTTCAAGTCTGGAGGCAACAAAACCTGCTCTCTCTTCCATTCATTTCCAGTTGGGAATGAATCAATGGGCCAAGTCTGGCTGAGATCCAAATGCATCTCATTTTTAGAGGCAGCATGTGCTTTATAGAACCCAGCAGTTTAACTTAATAGTTTGCATATTTAGTGCTGTGGCTCTGCAGTTTGGGCAAGCCAGTTGCAGACAGAGGCACCCTGTGACAATACAGCTTTGCTCTCTTGGAAGGAGTCTCTGGTCAGGATATGGGGTGGGATGGGCAAAGGTGTTCGGGGTTCGAGGGCAGAGCCTGAGGGGGCTGGAACAGAGGGTGTGGGGGGACGCGTGGTCTGGCTTTGTGATCAGATCAGAAAATGCACTGAATTCCAGGAAGTTTGGTGCAAGTTGAGGGTGGGGCCTCTAGAGCCAGACGGTCTAGGTCAAATCCCAGCTTGGTCACTGTGAGGCTGTGACTGCTCACAGTCACTGAGCCTCGCTATGCCCTGGTTTTCTTCCCTGTATAATGGTATTGTGAGGATTCGAGTTAGCATGTGGGAAGCCCCTAGGGTGGTGCTCAGCTCACAGCCAGTGCTCAGCAGATACTAGCTGCTGCTGCTGCTGTTGCAGGGTGAAGAGGTGGAAGCTTATGCCACACTCAGTGGAGTTTTTTAAACAGTGATATAGACCAAGGCTGTGTTTGCAGAGGTTACCTGGTGCCTGGCAGAGCTAGAGAGAGTAGTGGCTACAGGGTAACGGGCCAGAGGCTGAGGCCAGGCCCTCAGCTGGGACCATTGGCTGGGACGGAATCTAAAGGCAGGTTTGGGAGAGATGGGAGGGAGAGGGTTACATTGGAGCTTCATGAGCATCCACAAGTGGTGCTGGAGGAGAGGAAGAGCTTGGGGTAACCAGGATGCTGGTCCTTTGCTGAAAGGGGCACACAGAGGTGGGTAGGCCTGCAGGGAGGTGAGGAGCTTGGGCCGGGGAGCTAGAGATGTCATAGCTCTCCCAGGTGAGGCAGGGTGTGCAGCTGGCCGGGTGAAGCAGGAGCTCCGTGAGGAAGACTGGACAGGGTGGGAGCCTCAGCCCAGAGTTGGCCTCTGAAGCCCTGGGAGTAGGTGGGAGCACTCCGGGAGTGCAGGCAGGAGAGGGGCCAGGAGACCTGAGGCACTCTCTGAGGGTAGACAGGGAGGAAGGGGAGAGGAGAGCCAGGATTGGGGGTTCCGGACTAGGGAGTGGGACACAGCCTCTGTCAGTCCCTGGGAGTGAGTGGTGGTGAGCCCTGGGAGGAGCCTCCATGAGTTTGACAGTGATGCAGGCCTGGTCACCTACCACTTGCATGGGCCACAGCCCTGGGAGCTGCAGGGGCTTCGATCCCATCCCTGCTCTGCAGATCACATACTGGTAGAAACCAGACCCTTCAAAGGCAGGGAGCACTGGTGCCTACTGAGAGAGGGAGGGGGACCTTCAGCTGCAGGAAGTGGCCTTGGGCCTGAAGGGTAGATGGGACTGGGCTCTGCAGTGAAGGTGGGAGGGCATCCTAGCAGAGGGAGTGCAGGGAGGTCTGCAGCATGGGGCTGTTTTGGTGTAGCCAGGTGGGCCCAGGGGGAACAGCTAGGTAAATCTGGGCAGACTGGATTTTGGATGGAGGATAGTGCTGTATTACAGAGAAGTGATCATGGCTGTCGCAAGAGCCAACATCCTAAGCCCACCCAGACCCATTAATGAAGTCAGGCCCACTGCTCAGCATCCAATTGGCTGGTAGGAGAAGTAACTTGTTCAATGGGAGAATGGGGCTGTGATGTCTGACCAGCCTGGGCTTGAACCCCCTCTCTGCCACATTCCAGCAAGGCATTTATGCTTGGAACCTCAGTGTTGCCACCTGTGAAATGGGTGACACCGTGTCACAGACTGCAGGGTGGAAACCGCCAGCATGGATGGGCACACAGGCAGCACTTCATGAAGCTTCCTTGGCTCCCTCTCTAGGTCACTGTCGGTGTCCCTCAGAGGATCGTGGCCCGGCCCGTCCACCCCATCCAGACCAGCTTCCAGGAGGCTACAGCCTCCAAAGTGATTGTTGCCATGGGAGACAGAAGCTCTAACCTGAGAGGTACTTAATGAGGGACTTGGGCAGTCTTCAGAGTTCCCTGGAACAGGGAGGTGGCTTCTTGTGTCCTCCAGATGAAGTTTGTCTGCTTTTCCTGTTCACACTCACACCAACTCCAGAGAGGGCATTTAGCCCCCGCTCATCCACTCCTCCCAGCGTTTCTGAAGTTGGAGTCCTCCACAAGCTGAGCCAGTGAAAGGAATCATAATAGAGCCCAGCTCCCAAAAGGTGCCTGTTCTGCACTGAAAATGTGACTCAGCCCAAGGGCACCCGAGCAAAGAAAGCCACAATTTCCCACCATGAATCCCAGAAACTAATAACTTAGCAGGACTGGTCAGTTAATTTTTAAAATCAACTGGTCAGTTGATTTTAATTTTTGTACTGACCTCTCCCAGGTCACACATAGAACATCGAACCCCATCCCCTGCCCATGACAGCCCTAAACAGCAGCTGCGAGAAGTAAGTAAGTCATGAGGGCTGTTTTATCTTAAATCACTTCACTGGCAGGATGAAGCACCGCCCTTCTCGTCATGATTAACGAGGCAGCTTTGTTCCATCACGGCAGGCTGTCCTCCTTTGTCAGCACAAGTGGACAGCACTGTGTCATTGCTGAAATGCTGCTCAGGTGTTAGTGGAGAACTAGTTGCCCTCCAACTAGTTAGTGGAGAACTAGTTGCCCTCCAATCCAGAAGTAAACTGCCATTTCCCTTGCTGACAGGGACAGGAAACAGGCATTAGTGGGCCCAGCCCATCTGCTGGGCCCCTGGAGGCAATGTCTGGAGCAAATGCTGAAATTCTGACCTGAAGCTCCCTGTGATGTGAAATGGTGCCCTCTTTTATATGATGTGTCCTTGGCTGCATCTCAAAGCTTTGAGCGGCCCTGGGGTCCTGCTGGAAGGCAGGCAGGGGCAGGTGGCATTTGCAGCCCAGCCAGCCTGTGTGGGCCTACTCTGCTGCCCTTGTTCAGGCCTGGCCACACCCTCTCGTGTCTCCCCTCTCTAGGCGAGTGCACCCCAACCCAGAAGGAAGTCATCCAGGCCTTGCACCCAGAAGCCCTTATCAGCTGCCAGTCCCAGTTCAAGCCAACTGTCTTCGATTTCCCACCTCAAGATGTGTTCACTGTGGAGCCCCAGTTTGACACTGCTCTGGGTAACTTTGCGAGGATTTGAAAGTGAAAGGAACTTGGAGAGACAGTCTGTCTTCTGGGCATCTTGGGGCTTCCACACACCCAGCTCACTGTGGCCCTCTGTCCAGAGGGCAGAGGTTGTCAGGAGCCCAGCCTAGGGACTGACAGCAGAGGGGGATTAGGAGGACTACTTGTCATAGAGGATATCCTAGCTTGGCCAAGGCCTTTAAGGGGGATTCCCAGGAGGACTCTTGGAGGAGATGACTTCTTACCCGGGCTGTAGAGGATGCATAGGAGTCCCCTGGTTAGAGAAGCAGGGAGAAGGAATGACAGTGCACAGGCGGAAGAGGGAACAAGGCAATACATTCTTGTCTCCGCAGGCCAGTACTTCTGCTCGGTCACAATGCACAGGCTGACGGACAAGCAGCGGAAACACCTGAGCATGAGGAAGACAGCTCTGGTGGTCACGGCCTCCCTTTCCAGCAGCCACTTCTCCACAGAGCAGGTGGGGGCCGAGGTGCCCTTCAGCCCAGGTCTCTTTGCCGACCAGGCTGAAATCCTTTTGAGCAACCACTACACCAGCTCCGAGGTCAGAGTCTTTGGTGCCCCAGAGGTTCTGGAGAACTTGGAGGTGAGTGGCATCCGAATCAGGCCAGGCCAGAGTTGGGGGCATCAGGAAGGACCTGGAGGAAGAGGGAATGTGGTGTGGATGTCCTGGGCCAGCCCCCCTTTTTTTTCTTTTGAGATGGAGTTTCACTCTTGTCACCCAGGCTGGAGTGCAATGGTACGATCTCAGCTCGCTGCAACCTCTGCCTCCTGAGTTCAAGCAATTCTCCTGCCTCAGCCTCCTGAGTAGCTGGGATTACAGGCACGCACCACCCTGCCTGGCTAATTTTGTATTGTTAGTAGAGACAGGGTTTCTCCCTGTTGGTCAGGCTGGTCTCGAACTTCTGACCTCAGGTGATCTGCCCACCTCGGCCTCCCAAAGTGCTGGGATAACAGGTGTGAGCCACCACGCCTGGCCCCTCAACTGTCTTTAAAATTTATGTTTACCATTAGAATTTTTAAATCAAAAATACTGTTCTTTTTCCATGGCACTATTGCTGTCTCTCAGGCCATGTGCTTGTATTAATTGTTCTAACCTCTGCTGGTCTTTCCCAGCTACAAGTTAAGCTTGTGGGGGCAGCACTGAGAACACAGAGAAGGTGCCAGTGAGTGTGTGGTGCGTGGCGTAGAAGAATTCAGTGCAGGAGCATCCACCACAGAGCAGGGAGGAAAGCCCTAATTCCTGCTGAGCAAGTCCCCTCTCTCCCGGCCTCACTTTTCCCGTGACTAAGTAGAGGGGTGAATGATCCCTCAGGCCCGGAGCCTGGCAGGCTGGCAAGAGTTCTGGGGGGAGAGAACCCAGGAGTTCCTCGGCTTTTCTACCTGCCCTTCCTCCTGCCTTGCCGCAGACAAGTGTGGCCACCTGTCCTCCCATAGAAGCAGAGAATGCCCAGCACCACTGATGAGGGAGGAGGGCCGGCCCACTGGTGGCTGCTGGAGACCAGCCGTGAGCAGAGCTTGGCTGCTGCCTTGGAGAGCTGGTGCTTGGTGATACTTCATGTTGGTTTAGCATTTTTTTAAGCAGCACTTGATTAGAATTGAATGGGCTTGAGTTTGATTCTGACGATGTTCATATTGATTTGTCCTTCCTTCAAAAAGCACCCTGAGTATGGACAGGGCTTCTTGACTCTGCAGAGCATGCTGTCCCTGAGCAGTGCCCAGGTGTCTCCACCCATACCCTTTGGGTCCCAAGATAAAAGCCCAGCATGTCAGGCTGAAGCCGGGAGTGCTTCCAGAGATGGGCCCCGCAGAGCAGCCCTCCTTCCGGGGGGTCCTGAGGCTCCACTTGGTGGTCCCTCTGCTCTGCAGAATGTGCACCCCCAGCTCTGACCTCTCTTTCAGGTGAGATCTGCGTCCCCCGCGGTGCTGGCCTTTGCAAAGGAGAAGTCTCTCGGGTGGCCTAGCTTCATCACATACACGGTTGGCGTCGCAGACCCTGTGGCCGGCAGCCAGGGGCCTCTGTCCACTACCCTGACGTTCTCCAGCCCCGTGACCAACCAAGCCATTGCCATCCCAGTGACAGTGGCTTTTGTGATGGATCGCCGTGGGCCCGCTACTTGTGAGTTGTGGGATGATGTCATCTGGGACAGACCACCGTGGGGAGGGACAGGAGTGGTCCTGGCTATCTGTAGAAACCTGGGGTGTAAGAAACAGAGGAATCAGAAATGCAATGTCCCTCAAAGTGATCACTGCTCACTGGGACCATCATGCAGGCTTTAGTTCCCCAGCTTTCCCATCTCTTCTCAATGTGGCAGCCACAGGGACAGCGCCCCTCCTCTGCTCAGCAGCCTGCACCAGGAGAGGAAGCACCAGGGTACCAGGAGCAGCTGCAGGCCCAGGCCTCCAGCAGGTGGCCTGGCCCTCTGAGACCCCATCCTTATGTCTAAGAGGGGGCTGTGGATTGCCCTACAGACGTACAGTAGTGCAGGAACACGAGGGGACACCGCAGTGGGCCTGATGATTTTGTTAACTCATCTTCCCATTGATGGCAGATGGAGCCAGCCTTTTTCAGCACTTCCTGGATTCCTACCAGGTCATGTTCTTCACGCTCTTTGCCCTGTTGGCTGGGACAGCGGTCATGATCATAGGTGAGGAGGCTGCATGTATCTCTGGGTCTGTTCCCCTGCCCCTACTGCTCTAACCAACCACGTGCTCTTGCAGCCTACCACACCATCTACACACCCCGGGATCTTGCCGTGCCAGTAGCCCTCACACCTCGAGCCAGCCCTGGGCACAGTCCTCACTGTGAGTAGCTTCCCTGCAGGCACAACCAGGCAGAGCTTCTGGGAAAGAGAAGAGCCCTGGGAGAATGGTCAAGGCTCCTGAACCCCAAGTCTCAACAGGCCCTTGCCTGGGCCAAAGGAGCTTGAGGCCCAGAGGACAGATGTGGGAGCCAGGAGGGTTGGGGCAGATGGGACTGCCAGTCCTGGGTCAGCAAGAACTTTTCCCATACAGAGCCATGCTGGGTAGAGGTGTGGGCAGCAAGGAGCTCTGTCTAGGCAGGGGTGCATGCCAGGACTGGATGCCCACTTGGCTCGGGCTGCCTCAAAAGGCTCTAAGCTGGGGTTGGAGTCAGCCATTGGGCTGACTCACAGATGGGATTCTGGGTAGTTCTGATGAGAAATTTCCCAGAAGAAGGGCAGATTCATTTCTTTCAATGGTCCAACTGTCTCTGGTGACCCCGAAGCCCTGGTGAGCCTGCACAGCTCCAGGGAGCACCTCACTGTGTGAATAGTTTCTCTCTAAAACAATGCAGTACCCATTCTGTGCAGCTATACACGAAGACCCTTTATGTTTCCTGATTCCCCTTTGAGGATTATCTCCCATATACAGAGTCCTTGAGCTCATGTCTGCTGGCATGGGGGCTCATGGACAGGCTTCAGGGGGATCCCTGATTTTTTTTATAAAGAAGGCCCAGATGTGTGGGTAGAAGCACTTTACTGGGTAAGAAGAGCCCACACGCCCTTGCCTTCTGCCTGGTGGCTTCTCCACCTGCAAAGCAGTGCCCAGGGGAGGGCATGGGTGCTTGGCCTCCTCACTGCTCTGCTGCCTTCTGCAACTGCTCTGGCAGCAGGCACCTGCCCTTTCTAGCTGCCTCTCCCAGCATGCTCCTCCCTGGGTTTTGGGGAGCTGCGCCTGGATCTCTGCAAGGTCTCTGGAGCACTGCAGAACCTCTGCTCCCCTTGGGGTCTTTGTTTCTGTGGAGGTCTAGCTCAAGGCTCTGTTGCATTCAGATGCACAGGCCCTCCCTGCCACATGCCCCCTGGACAGATGCTCCTAAAACTTGAGACTTGTTCTCCCCAACAGGCTCTGCATTCTGGGGTGTTAGCCTCTCTGTGTGGTTGAACCCAGCTCAGCAGGCACCTGTGGACTTCGCTTTGCTGGCCGGGGAGGTCTTGGGGCATCACTAGGAGAGTGTCCTGGGTGAGGCAGGTGCCTGCTGATGCTGGCTGTAACTGAGGAGCACACCACTCTCCCTGGCTTTGCTGCTCACGTCGTCTCTCTTCCCACCCTAGATTTTGCTGCCTCATCACCCACGTCTCACAATGCACTGCCTCCTGCTCGTAAAGCCAGCCCTCCCTCAGGGCTATGGAGCCCAGCCTATGCCTCCCATTAGGCCAAGTGAAGGTTCCCAGAGAATGGTCCTCAGCTGAGCCTCATGCACCCCCAGGATGGGACATCCCTGCTGCGTTCACACTGGAATAAGCCCCTCCAGATGAGTGCCCCGGCCCCAGGCCAGCTTCACTGCCACCTCTGTTCACAAAGAACTATAGTTGCGGCTGTGCCCAGTAGCTCATTCTTTTATGTAGGAGTTTTAAATATGTGGTTTTTTGCTTTCAAGTCTTACAAAGCTAAAACTTTTTGGCCCATTCCTTTCTGTATGGCTGTCTTGGATTTCTGGACAATGTGCTGTTGCATTTTTATTTTTCTAGCCTTGCTAAAAATCACTCCCTTCTCAAGACTCTGAGCAGTTAGAAGCGTTCTTTAGAAGTTGTCTGTAGGTGATGTTACTGTAGTGGTCTCAGGGAAAGGATTATCCAGTTACTTTAGGTGGTTTTTTGGTGAGGTTTTTCTCCCTGTGAAAACTTACTTTTCCCCTAGTCTGGCTACTGCTTAGGAATTTTGGGGAGCAAAGGGATGTGAGTGTCCCTATGTCTTCCCCACTGCCACAAGGGAAGCCTCAGGAACCAGCACCCTGGAGGCTGGGATAGCCAAGCCCTGGGTGGGCAAGAGACTGAAGTTCATCCAGGGCCACTGTGAATAGACTTCAGGCCTCTATGGTTTTTTGTTTCAATAAGCTGTTGAGACATCTGGTAGACTCGGCTTAGGCCCTGCTGGGACATCCCAGGTGTGATCCCTCTCACTCCATCAGGACACCAGGACTGTCCTTAGGAAAATGTCCTTGAGATGGCAGCAGGAGTCGTCTTTTCTGTGTGTGTGTTTTGGAAAGACGCCGTGTCCTGCCTCAGCACAAAGACCCAGTGTCATTTGCTCCTCCTGTTCCTGTGCCACTCCAGAACCTCAGCAGATCTGAGCCACCGCCTGCCAGTGTGAGAGGTGGCCACTCTCATGGCAGCTCGTCAGGCGCAGGGCTCCAGGCAGCTTCCCAGCAGGCCCTAGAGCCCAGCCTGGCCCAGCAAGGAGGGCGGCCACCAGCCCAGGGCCTGCCCATCCAGCAGAGACTCCCCAGGGGCTGGGGGAGGCAAACCCTTGGAAAAGTCCTTTCTTCCCAGCTCCTGGTTCTGGTTCTGAGACTCTCAGATCGCAGCCCCCTGTGCTCTAGGCTGAGCACCCTCAGGGAGATCCAGAGACTCATGCCCAGGCCCATCCATACGTGGACGCTGTATGAAGAGACCAGGATGACTAGGGATCTTGCACAAGTCCCCTTCAGTCCTTCAGGGCTGGGCCACGTGGTTGACTTTTCTAAAGCTGGTGAAAGGAAGAATTGTGCCTTGCATATTACTTGAGCTCAAACTGACAACCTGGATGTAAATAGGAGCGTTTCTACATGGTTTATTTAATAAAGCTCTGTGATTTTTTTTAAAGGGTGTGATCATTCCTGGGATTTCTCTCTGGTGGTGATGGTTTCTTCTCTTTACCCATCTGTGATACTCTGGGGCCTGGCAGAGATAGAAGTCTGAGCTTTATTCTCCCCAAGGGGTGAGCATCATTTTCAAGCACATTCAAGCTGGCAAATGCAAGTGCATCTGGACACCACCAGATCTTGCCAGCAAGTGAGTGTGCCCAACAAGGCATGTTGACAAAACCAGGTGATGCCGCACAGTTCAGCTTTCTGTTCCCAAGCTAACCAAGCGATTCTCTATCTCTAATGGGTGCCAGAAAAGGCTTTTAGCACCATTTAGCACTAAAAATATAGTATTTCATATAGATTTTTATTTTCTCTAGAATTTTTAAGTCTGGCCAAAAGTGATCTCTTGTTCTCTGTGTTTTTCTCTGTTTGCCTCTGTGTGTCTTTGCGCATGCTCACATGTGCGTTCTTGTATCCTGGAAATGTTACATCTCAAAGTCTGTGAACACTCACTAGCAGGGAGCACTGAACCTGGGGCATCCAGGGTGGTAGCTCCAGTCTAGGCTGGAATTGTTTATCTCTCTGGGCCACAGTAGTTTCCTCACCTGCAAAGGGACCTGACATATGTCCTACCCACCACCCACCCAGAGTGGCTCCCAGCAGGAAGCAGGTGCTAGATGGCATCACTGTTCCCAGACCCTCAGTCTCCCTCTGAGTATGCCCTCTCTCACATGCCTTTGCAGTTCCTCCTGCTCATTGAGGCTAGGAGCGGTCATGTGACTTGCTTTGGTTGGCATGGGTGAGAGGGACCGTGGGTCAGTGCTGGGCATCCCTCACCCTCCTTGTGCCCCTGCCATTGATGTAGTAATCAGGAAGCCGGGGTAGCTGCACATTCAAGCAGGAGTAAGGACACCTTCGAGGGACCTGAGACACACCTGCCCACCCCAGATCACCTGGCCTGCAGCCCATGGCTGTGAGAAGAGTGATGGTTCTTGGGAACAGTATGGTAGACAGCAGCATTGCAGCAACCCGTGACAGAAATGAAACATGCAGAAACATCCCTTGTGGCAGATGTTTTCTGTCTCGCATTCCCTCCCTTCCATGGGTTCCCTCTGGGCTGTCTGCTGGGCGCTCTCAGCCCATTCTGCTGGGACAGGGTTTCCTGGGCATCCCTGGCCTCAGGCCTAGCCAGGCACCTAGTCAGGAGCCTTTGAGGATGGGGCACAGGAAGACTGTGCAACAGTGGGCCTGTTCCTCCTGCACTCCCATCTCCTCTGGACAGCGGTGTGGTCAGCCACACACTAGAGGCTGCTGTGAGGGTGGATGGAAATGTGGCTCCACAGGACATGTCACTCCATCAGTGTGGGTCCTGTGCCCACACAAAACCATCCTGCCCAGCCTCACCCTCCATTGCAGCCCTTGTGGCAGGGCCACAATGGGAGGGATGTTCTCAGGATGGCTTGTGGAATGAATGCATGAGTGGATCCCATGAAGGAATAAATGATTCTGGGTTTCCCAGCTCTGGGGCTCTAGTTTCTGGAACATCTTGAGCCTCAGGCCAGTGTGGAGAGGAGCAGGGGCCAGGGGTGCAGGTGGAGGCTGAAACTCAACAGTCAGAATGCCCACCAGACAGCCCAGGGAGGATCTGCTGAAGGGAGGGACCACAGGACAGAAAACTGAGGGCTGACTCAGTCTCCCCCAAACCACTCCTCTTGGCCACCTCCAAGTCACCTGGGCCAGAGCAAAATGAAGCCAACTTGGCAGAGCCACCTCTGACCACCAGCATAGCTCCCAGCAGTATATGGACCATTGGAAGAAGCCGGGAGGCAGGACGAATGCTCAGAGCAGGTGCTGTTTTCTGCACGCCACGTGCCAGCACATGCTGAGCACTTACAGTCACTAGCTCACTTCGTCCCTGCCACAGCCCTAGAAGACAGGCTTAGCCACCTACAGATTGGGAAACCGAGACCCACAAGGTGAAGCCACTCACCTGGTCATATGCTGGCAAGTGGCAGAACCAGGATTCAAATCCTGGTTGACTGGCACCAGAGTTTGCTCCCAACACATGTTCCTGCCTCTGCCTTCCTGAGTGGAGGCATCCACTGTGGCAGCCTTGCACCCACTTCCCTCAGACCACCTCAGCTGTGGACTGTCTCATGGATTATTTTATAATCATAAGAAAGAACTTTTGCTGGGCATGGTGGCTCACACTTGT